AAAAAATGTTCAAAACTCTGGGATATTTATAACAGACTTGGAGGGGGAGCTGTGTGACGGACATTTCTCCTCTAATTGAGCTATGTATGTTATAAAGGCACAAACATATCGCAACGATTATCAGTAACCGACCAGGTCCCCTAATGTAAACAACCTCTACGGGTTTCAAGCCGCTCCACGAGGCCCTAGCGCCCACAGGGTTAAATCCTATTCCCCACCCCGCTGCAGCAGAGGTGCCTACATGCTGCGCCCAACGTAACAGAAACGTGCTCTGACTCGTACGACCAGATAACACGCCCTTTCTTGACGTTTTTTTTCCCCCTCTCCAGGCAGCTGAGCGGAGCCTCCCCCTCTCTTCTTTACTAAGCAACCCCCAACACACGCACAACTCGCTGCCCCCTCCCTCTTAAGTGCTCAGCCATCATTAAACCGACAGGGTAGGATTACACCGGAATGCGAAGTTTTCCCCACAGCGCTGTGGCCTTACTTGCATTTAAGACTAAAAGGATGAATGTAATGTGGGTTTAGGGCCTTTTTCATTTCCTTTGTCTCAAAACCTAGATTAAAAATTAAAAACTGCGGCTCCCCTCAAATGAACCCTTCTCCAGTTATTCTCCGGCTGGGAATGAGAGTGGAGCAGAGAGAGGCTGCAGGCGCGTCATCGGAAAATGTCAGCCCCAATTACATTAAGAACTACAGGGATGACTTCGGTGTCCTGAATCAGCACTTCGTAATGAGAGATCTTTACACAGCGCGGCTAACAATACAACTCTCTTCTGCTTACAAAATTATTTCTAGAAGAACTGTGATGCATTAAATATATTTTCCCGATGTTTGAAATAATCTCTTTACACACACTGCAAACCGAGTTTTAGTACCTATCAATTATAAGAATTCGAACTGTTACAGTTGCAGTAATTGTTACATACCAATAGGTTTAAATAATTAGAAATCACTTTATAGCATCTCCATTTTAAAGATCAATGAAAGAATATCGATATAAATTTAATATAAGTTTGATTATTTTCTCTAATAGCCTAATAACCTGATTGATATTTTCCAGGCTGGTCAAAGTATTAAAATATAGGTACAAATTGTATTTCAGGGAAAAAACGTGTTTTATAACATACTGATACATGTTTTAAGTTTTAAATTGTGCCATATGTGCTATATATAGAAAAAGCCTTATATCTGCATGAATCAAATTATTGTACTTTTTTGTTCAGCATATTATTGTGCTCAGGTAATTTATTTTATAATAATAATAATAATTGCTTACACTTATATAGCACTGGACACTCCACTCAAAGTACTTTACAGGTAATAGGGACTCCCCTCCACCACCACCAATGTGCAGCATCCACCTGGATGATGCGACGGCAGCCATAGTGCGCCAGAATGCTCACCACACATCAGCTATTAGTGGGGAGGAGAGCAAAGTAATGTAGCCAATTCATAGAGTGGGATTATTAGGAGGCCATGATTGGTAAGGGCCAATGGGAAATTTTGGCCAGGACGCCGGGGTTACACCCCTACTCTTTTCGAGAAACACCCTGGGATTTTTAATGACCACAGAGAGTCAGGAGCTCGGTTTTACGTCTCATCTGAAGGACAGCGCCTGTTTACAGTATAGTGTCCCCATCACTACACTGGGGCATTAGGACCCACATGAACAACAGGGTGAGCGCCCCCTGCTGGCCCCACTAACACCTCTTCCAGCAGCAACCTTAGTTTTTCCCAGGAGGTCTCCATCCAGGTACTGACCAGGCTCACACCTGCTGAGCTTCAGTGGGCTGCCAGTTGTGAGTTGCAGGGTGATATGGCTGCTGGCCATATCTGTTTATCTTTCATGTAAACAGTCTGACCGCTGGGGCCACTACCAGGATGACTGAATCGGGGTTGGGAGAAATTTCAGTCACACCCACAGGATATTCAATGTGTGTTGTCTCCTCCAGCAAGGAGATTATACAGTAATCACAAATATGCAAAGTCAGAGTAACATTCTCCACTCTGTATTGCCAGTACCTGGAACTAAATAAAAAAAGAGCCAGTTAAACCTTGAGGCCTATCAAGCTTAAATTACCCCCACAGCTACTCTAATACATATTCAACCCGATTCTATACTCCTTAGATCAATTGGATAGCATTCTTTTTAAATATTGAAAATATAAATTGGTGTTGTGTATTAAGAGTTAGTTTAAACTTGATTTCTTGATGGTCCTTCAATGATATCTTCTAAATCCTCTATTGTGATGTTACTTATTGTAAAGTACCCTGCTGTGTGACTTAAATGACCACATAAAAACCTCTTTTTCGCAAAAACACCTCATAAATCCACTCACTGTGCAATATTTCGAGATCAGAAATGTTTTTGAGATAGACGGGTTAGGAGGAGTGCAGTAGCACAGGGTTGCCGAAGAACAGCTTCAAAACATTTTTGGTTTGGTTAATGAAAACCATCTTTTCATGAAAATGAAATGCCCCATAACATCTATAAAATATTGTCAGTATTTTCACCTATTTTGTACGAAACAAAAACTGTCAATATGGTTTGATATTCTAAAAAAAACATTCCCTTTTTCCTTAGTATACATCTACCTTTCTGGTTTAATATGATGTGAGATATGAAGGAGTGACATTTTCTTTTCCACTACAAAACTTTGACAACCATACCCTTAGCAAGCAATTTGTTGTTTAAACCAAGGGTCCCCCAATACTGCTCCAGTACAGGGCAGTGGTTTCTACAGTTTTCAGTTCAACTGGTCTCTTACTCAATCAGCTCTGGTCGGTTTAACAGCTTCTTCCTGCTCTTCAGCACAATCTTCAAGGACCAGGATTGGGGACCCCTGCTGTAAACTGTCAGCTGATATCCTGCCTCTGCGCTCAATAGCTGTGTGGGGGTTACCGTAGCAACTGTAGCCTCATGTCGGTTGTGTAAAAAAGGTCACTTTGTCACCTCATGAGCAGAATCAGCCACTGAGCCCCAGGGGAGGGGGGTGGTGTTGTTGGGAACAGTCGCATGTGGATACTTGCTTGGCTGCCAGTGACCATAAAAGGATTACCTTCCACAAGGAATGTGCAAGACGTCCACTTCTAAATTCAGGAGGTCACTGTTGTCTTATCTGGGAGCGATTTGGAAACTATGGAACGCGTGGCAAAGCCATAGCACTTCATTGAAACTGTTACAAATAGTTACGATTAGTGAGTCATTTTTTAAACTGGGCTTAAGTAGTTCTGTAATGTGGCAGGCCTAGGGACTAGCCTGTCCTAAAGGAAGCAGAATGTGGAGCTCCTGGGGTTGCCGATTAACTGGTTGAATGGTGCGAATGTGAATGCAGTATTGTCTTTCCAGCGTTCAGTCAATGAGCCAATCGGTTTCTCCGGGAGATCCACACAGCAGCCCTTCTGTATCTAATTCAGGTCAGGACAGCCCCTAGCCCTGCAGCATCACTCTTTCTTTAAACAATTCGTTTTTGGATCTGGGTGGCACGGTGTTTTGTACATTGATATCGCTGCCTCACAGCTTTGGTGTCCAGTTGCAGATCAGGCTGCCTCCTGCACAGAGTTTAAACTCATCCCCGTGTATGTGAGTTTTTGCAGGGCACTCCAGTTTCCTCACACTTTTCAAATGAAACGATTATGTCATTTTTTAATTTGTTCCCGTATGTGTGTGTCCTGTGACGGACTGTAGTCCCATCTGGGCTGTGGTCCAGTCTATTGGCTCCTGGGTGCTGCACACCCTAACAAGAATAAGCAACTTTCTCATAGCTGAATGACAGATGGAAGTTTTAAACTGTTTCAGTGAATTTAGTCATGATCTACTGATGAAATATAACAATTTTGTCTGTAAATACTGTAAAGTCATTTGGAGAAAAGGAGTCACATTTTATATTTCCTTTCTTAAATTGGCGCAAGTAATTAGTATAAATAGTGTATAGGAAATTGGTGACATTAAAGTCTCAAAAAGAACTAACTTTGGGTGAAATCCTATGAGATGATTCAAATCCTGCTACTGTATATACCTATTTATTTAAATTATTTGGAAATAATTTACATTTGAATTACAACTACTTTAATTTTGAATAAACAATATAAAAAAGCCAGTGTGAGAAGAACTGCCAATAAAGAATATATACTGTACACTGCATTTCAAAAATAAAGCTAGTTATTTCTTGTTTTGAAGTGAAAATTTGACGGGAAGCCAAAAGAATGAACTGTTTTATCACCAGAAAATAAAACTTTAAATGAATAAGAGTTTGAATCCTTTTAATGGTGAGTAATGTCTCACATATGAAATTCCATTTAAACAATAAAATCTATTTTTTATTCATATCTTTTATAGAATTGTTGAATGTTTTGCACTGAATCTCTGTAGTTTTCACTCAACATAAAAAACAGCATTCCAATTTCCTCCCAAAAGGAAGCTATGAGCATTTATACTTTAAAACAGAGAAAACATTTAGCACCCAAGGCCAATCTTTTACTCAGAATAAATGGATATTGTACTCTAATTCTCCAAAATTATTTTACATTACTAATTATGATTACTGCTGTAGCAGACATTAACCATAAAGGATGCTAACCCATTTGAAGGATTGATCGTTTCAAATATTTCAATCTAAAAACAGCTAAATAAGGCTAGCACATGCCTTATATGCTTTTATTCAGATAACCACTCACAAATTTAACTCTACATCAATTATTTGATATTATTTTATCATATACAGACAGTTGTACAAGATAAAATAAAATCAAACAGGTTATCACCAGGCAAAAATATAAGACCTGGTCCTTTTCACACCACAGTATTCACAAAGTGTCATTTACCCTACCATATTGTCTTGAACTAGACCACACCACGCAAATCATTCAGAGCCACCTGAAAAAAAAACAGTCCACAGGCAAAAGTTATCGGTGACATACAGTAACTGGAAACAAACGTCTTGATCTAACTGTTCCAACACCCGCTTTAAAACGAGAAACACCTAGTCTGTACGTACATGTGGTGGAATCTCTTCATCGCTTTCCATTGCTGTAGGGAAGTTTTCTGCCAGAAGATTATCTTGTCTGAAAGTCAGTCCTTAGCATTTGTTCCTGCAGAAAGGATTCAGCAGGATTTAAGTAAGCACGGTTACATAATAACACAGTGACCCCTCTCAATATCCTTCACTCTGTAGTTTCCATCAGTTTTTCAACATAACATTTATCATAAAGAAATATAAGAATAACGCTGGAGAAGAAAAGAGGTGATACCAGGTAAATAAAGATATTCCAGCAGGTAATCAGTAGTCTGAACAAAAATGATCCAAAATCTTGGAACAGTCACCACAGATGAAAGCAGCAAGAACAATTTTGTGCAGTTCTGTGGATCATAAAATTAAAAGCAGAGCTTTAAAATAATCTTTTTAAATTGACGTGGCAGATAATCCATGCACCCACCTGCTTTTTACCAATAGGCTCGAAAGCAACTATTGATAGAGACGGAGTGAAAATAAATTTGTTGGTGGTTTTGTTACATTTATACATAAATACAATCAGTTTACTTGAGAGATGACATTTTGTAACAAAATCCTTTGTATGGAATATTTACTAGAAAATTATTTTCTCAAGCTATAAAGGCTTAAACTGAATATACAGTAATTGTCTTTATTGGTTCAAATATTCTTACTCCACTTTTATTGTTAGCCTTAAACTATTACATGGATAATGAAATATGCTTGATTTTTTAAAACATTAAGTTAAAAATACTGACCCTTATCAGTGAGAAGCTAACAGGACACTGAACCAGCTAGCAATAAGGCATTCTGGATTCACTGAATTTCTTACTAATGTGAAAATTATTTTTTTAGGATTAAAACACAAAAAACACTAAATCAAAAACATCAGACTGGAGATCATCATAAAAAAATAAAGTGTATTTTGATTCTATTTGAAATATTTATAGCAATTCTTACTATAAAAAGTAATGAACTTTGAAATATTTTGGGAATAACTAGATTTCTTGAGAGTGGCATTTGGAAGCAGAAATTCACACATCGTGCAATCTGTAACTCATGAATTTTTTTTATTGTTTTAAAGGTATGCTAATCAAGGCACAATTGCGTTTGTCAGCAACGCTTTGTTCACCATTGGTGAGCTGTCCCAAATCACACCACATTGACAGAGCACCCAGCTGTGGATTTAGGAAATTATAAATGAACCTTTCACAGGAGGCAGACTGGAGCCATTTAAAGATTTTCCAGTCCTTTGATCCTGGTAGCTCAAGGCACTTTGGAGGTCATAGCACCATTTTGAATTTGAAATGAAGGTCATTAAGTCAGTTAATAGTTGAGTTATGGAGCCTTTAACGTGACAGAGGCCTGGATTAACTCCACACTGTGCCCTGTTTACCAATGCCAACAGTGCCCACCAGCAGGTACTGCATTTGGAATTGGTGGTTATATGGTATGATAAAGTTTTAATCTAGCCCGGGAGACTCTTACTATGCAAAGAACTTGTAGTTTTAACAAATTTCTTTAGATTGCATCTGTTCTGCTTTATAAACTTGTTTTCTTTTTACATTTTTTTAAATCAAAGAATCTTCCCATTATCTCCTCTACTCCGGGCAAAAAAGTAATGGTAAATCAAGAATGTAACCTGCAATTTTTTAATGCAATGCATATCCTGTACCTCATTACACAACCACAAATTAATGCTAAAAAGATAAAAAATACAGTAATTTAAATTTATAAGCACAAGTTTATAATGTAGCATGTGTTCTACCCCAAATTTATAGCCAAGACATGCACTATACAAACAAAGAAAAGGACTGAGTTGTCCAGCAGTCTTGCCTTTGTCTCTGCCTGTAGAGACACCTAAGTATGTGTCCATGTCCACTGTCAGGGCCTGAGCAGCGGTCACCCCCGCATTAAAGTTGGATGGAGAGGGATTATTGTGAGCAACTTTTCCCCGGGCCCATCCACCTGGCAGATTGTAAAGCTGGCAAGCAGATTTAGGAGATATAATTCAATACCTTTCCATTCAGCTTTGTTAAACGTTGTGCCAGATAAATGGTTATTTCATTTCATGTGTTGCAAGGTCCAAGTCTAACATAGATTTTAATCCAAATCTATTAATAGCATTTAACATAACTGTTACTCTGCAGTAAACTGTAAATTTAAAATATATAACCCCATTTTGTTTGCTCTTCCTTGTTTTCTTGTGTGCATGAGCTTCCCTTTTTGAATTGCTCTGTTGGCATTAGATGTGTAAGGTTTGCTTTAAAAATCACAGGCCAATAGAATGTAAACAGAAAATGGTTTTAATAAAACAGCATATTTTTAGCTATTTTATTAAATGCTTTTGTTCCCAAGTTTTTATTAATTTTGTAATTTGATTAGTGATAAAATATGTAAAAGATTTTTTCCTTTACAACATATTTACATTTCAGTAAAATCTTACCATACAGACTACACTATACATATTCTTATCATACAGATCGTCTAATTTGTGAGCCAGTTCTTGTCTCATTATCCAAGGAATTACGTAGGTAGCAGAATATGTAAATTGAGTTAACAGCTATAAACCTGCAACTCTATGCAAGGCAATGTTACTGGACACAAGTACAGTATGAACCATACCCACATCTAAAATTGGAGCACTACTGTCTATGTAATTACATTACCTTATTCTTTTTCTTAATCACCTGTGTTGTGCATAATCCAAAAATAAAGCTTTAGAAGATTATTATGCCATCATCAATCTGAATATATTTTCCAACTCATTTTCACTGTGGGGTGACACACAGGGTCATTAATGCTGCCTTCTGAGAGTTCTGGAGTCCTAGGATTAAATCTAATGGGGAATCTTCTGTCGGGCGTTTGCAAGTTCTCCCTCAGTTTGCCTGGGTTTTCTACAGGCACCCCAGTTTCCTCCCATCTCCAGGGACATGCTGGCTAGATCTGGTTGGCTATTCTAAATGGTCTATTTCTCCGAGGCCCTACCACCGACTGGCGTCCCAATGGCTGGCGAGAGTGGTCAAGAGCTCCTGTTCTCGCCTCATGCCCTGTGTTTCTGGTGTGAGCTCTGGGTTGTGGCAGCCTTTACTAGAAAACGAGACTTTCTCATAATGAAGGAGCGGACTTCCACAGGACGGTTTTTTGAATTTGACAAAACATCGTTCTGCGGATTCTGGAGAATTGGAGTGTTATGCTTGTAGGTTGATTCACAAATCACAGGAAGATCCCCTTTCCTATTTCTGGGCATTATCGGCAGCATGTCTGCTCAACAGTGGTGAATCCCATTTACCAGCCCTCAGTACGGCATACTGTTTCCTAATGCGAAAACCCTCATTCGGTAGCTTTGCTGCGTGATCCTTCATGAACTCCTCCGCTGTCTTTGAAAGGCTGCAGGTTTGCGGCCCTGTTGGCGAAATCTCAGGCTGCGGAGAACCATGAGGGCCGTGCGAGTCCCGCCAAGCGCTACGCCTGCGTGTGGAGGCCCCGAGCCACCGCCGTGATGAGGGCGGCACCCTTCCCACTCCCGTCTTCGGAGAGGACGAAGGTGACGCTGCACCGCGGCGCGAGCTCCTGCACCGTCTCCCTCAGGCTGGTGGAGAAGCTGGGGACAGAGGACAGAGGCTGCAGGAGGTGCTGTTTCTGGGGAGGTCTGAGCAGATATCACACCCACCCACACACCTGTTTCACCTTCCATGTCCAAGACAGTGATAATCTTCAGTCAAATTTCCAAAAGCTTCCTTAATGGTTGCTGCTCGTTATGAAACCTGCTTCTTATAATGTTTCCCCAAGTGAATTCACACGCCACACCAGTTCCTGGCTGCCATGCACAGGTACACACATGGTACAGCTCATGTCCGACACACACGGAGGAAATTGTTATAACCAGAGCAATGACAGGTGGCCTTTCCCCAGACATGATCAGAAAAGTGTTGCTCTGGTGTTAATCTGGCTCTAACACTAGAACACACACAAGACTAGACCTCTTCCACACACGGCTCCAATCTTTCTAGCATTCAACGCACGGACAAAACCTTGCTAACGGGTACAGGCAAGGACACCCTCTGTCCGATACTGACTGTGGATGCAGCTTGTAGAGAGTCCCGTCAACCCCCACGGTGATGTCCAGGTTGTCCAGCCCCCGGTTCTCACGGATCTTGTCCACGACAGCGGCCATCCCGGCCCCACAGATCTGCGCCGCTCGGCGAGACACCGTGCCGCACACCTCCTTCACGACGATACTATCGTCGCACGTGCTGTCCAGGCCCAGCTGCTGCAGGATGGCTCGGACCTGGAGGAGGGCCAGGCGGTCACTAGGAGATAGACAGAATCAATACTAGAGAGCTGCTCCAAACACTCGTCTCCCACTTGCCCTGACAAACATTCCCAAGCTACCAGCTTTCTCTTTGAGAAACCATCTTTAAAGGCAAAAAATCAAATTTATTATTATAGTTTTACTATACAAACACCTCACGTGATTACAAAGAAGCTCACAGGAAAAATTGCTTAGAACATGAAGAGTTTTTTTCCATTTATAGGGAAAATTTGTCTAAGTAGAACTGTATTTTTATCACTAAACTTGTAGGTCCTGTAGTCTTGGCATTCTAATTTTCAGTCTTTATCTTCAATGGATTCAATTTAACAAACAAGTCCTTATTAGTCCCGTATGACGTTTGTTAAAACATTTTCTCTAACAAGATCAAATGTACCACATTTTACTTGGGCTTTGAGACCCTTCCTGTGTTAATGGTTCATCCCACACACCAACGTCTGGAGGGCCTACATGTAACCAGTGTAAAATTCCCGAGGGTAAAAAAGATTTTTTTTGATCATTTTGTTAAAAAAAACCTCAGAAAATACACCCTGAAATTCATCCATCCAGCTAGATTTTAAACCAAAACCCTGTAACAGAAACAGCAAAAAACAAGCACACAGAAACAGATTGGTGAGCAGACATGGAGCGGCAGGCGTCCTACTGTACCTCTCAATCTGAGAGAGGAACTTGGTCTCAAATATCCCCCTGGTCTTGAGGCGCTCGGTGATGCGGCCTCGGAACAGCAGGCCTCGCCTCGTCAGGTCGATGAGGATCTGCCGCACGACCTCCCCCAGGTACATGCCACTGGTCATCTTCTCAAACCTGCAAGCGCACAGCACGCGTCACGCCGAGATGTCTCAGCGCCAAACACCAGCGAGCTGTTAAGAGATCGGCAGAGCTGGGGGTAGGCGGTCTCCTTCTATATGGACAGTTTCTATAGTAAAGATGCATTCATCAGGTGCAAATACTAAATCTTTTTTTTTTAATCTGTTCTGGTTGTCAACTTCAACAACAGCCTCAGTTTAGAGCTGTTTTCAGAAGCTCTTCCTGAAACTATAGCACCTTCTTGTGGCCACTGAGGGAATATGATGTATTCTGCTTTCAGCCTGGGGAGGCATCTCTCCTGAATACCATGTAGATGAATAAACTGTACCTGTTCATTAAAAAGTCTTAAACCGACAGAATTGTTATTGTTTTCTTAATGAATCAAGGCCACCCGTTGTCTTTTACAGAATGTAAAAGAATGTAATGAGCAAGTCTATATAGAAAAATATGATACTTCTGAAGGCAACACCTTCAGGCTTTGTCAAAATGCTGTCTTTTTCTATGGCCTTGGTCTACAATTGCTTGGGTCTTTCAAAACCATCTAAAACCACTTCACAGGCAAGACCTTTCACTGCCGTCACTCCGAGTAACTCTACCACAGTTGGTTCGGTTTGGGGGTTCAGAAACACGTAAGGCACTATACAGTATTATTTGTCCTTTACAAACAGTTCTAAAATAATAACTAAGAGGTTCCTTACTTTTGCTTGCCTACATTCAGAGACCCTTCATCCACTTCTCTGTCAAACTTTGTTCTTATGTCTTCGATGCAGCCATTTTCTCCAAATCCGCCCCATTCAGTATTCACACACATCCGGCCCTCATCTCCGTCCACCATCTCGATGTTCTTCATTTCCTCCATGTAACACACGTTGCTCCCCGTCCCTGAAGCGGGACAGGGGCAAGTTACAACTTTCATCTTTGCGATCTTCACGATCTCAGTCTCGTTCAGAGGCTGGAATCACCATCCACAGAAAGACTGAGGCCGATATTAATTCTTCTTCGGGAATATGGTATCTCTACGGCCTTGTACAGCCAGATAGCTATCTCATCTAGTGAATTATATTGGTGACTGCTACTTTCATTACATGCCCTGAATGCAAAAATGTGTAAAAATAGTAGCAGTAAATCAGTAGACTTAATTGTATGATATGTGAAACTGGTGAGAAGCACAGAGGACACTCTGACCTAAGCAGATGTTGGATAAGTGAGCTGAGAGCAGTGTTGCTGCAGCAGAGAGCTCCTGAGTACACTCCAATGTAGAACAGACAGGGCAACAAATTCTGCATCGTGCCGAAACTCTAGTGACAGAGACTGGTTTTGCAGAACGCTTGGAGCAAGACATCGGGCATTCTGAGTTGAGACATCACTGCTGGCTTTGGCCACGTTATGTACATACTGTACACTCACAATCCCTGGCTTGGTTGAAACATCCTCACTATCTGTAACCCCAACCATATTCTGCAGCTTTAGATCCCCATACCTGCAATGAGTCCGATTTCACAATTTGGATCTTCGTAAGCACACGTCATCATCGTTCCCACAGTGTCGTTCACAACCGCGACGATGTCCAAATCGAATTCCTGGGGACAGAGAAGTTTTGGTTAGACACTGAAAAACTGCTCCTCTTGCATTCATCAGAGCCACATTCCACTGGGAGGACTTCAAAGCAAGTTAGCATCGATAGGATGTGCCTCCAGCTGACCACACTGTGGGCCCAGGACAGCACCCAGCTGGCTGAGCTCTGCTACAGCTCTGCTACAGGGCGAACGACCTGACGCGTCCCTAGGTCCGGTCAGCAGTATTTGCATTACATGGTCAACCTGTGGTCCGAGTGATCTTTTTTAATGGCCAACGTAGAGTCTGCACATTTTGTACATCCTAATTAGCTGAAAGATTAGATTACCATGTTGATCTTGAACATTTAACATTTAAACATTTGAACAAACATTTAAATACATTGTGCATTAAGTAATACACACTGTACATAACAAACTTACATTTCTTCTTTTAACGGCTTCTCTTAACATGTCTACTACATCATTTCCTTCACAGTATGTGGCTTTGAACCCTTTAGTCCAGCTGACAAGTGTTCCCTGTGTAAAGAGGACGCATAATTCAGACTTTTTATTTGTTAAAGGAATAAAACAACACCTTCTTACACTTGACCATCTGTATAATTTTAGGTGAATGGGGTATCTGAAATACCTGAAATACACAGTAACTACATTTCAAATAGGAATAGAATTAATTGACATGTACACAGAAAAAGAAATGAATGATGAAACTACACTGTCTAATGACACATTATGTCCTTGGGTACATTTAAGTTATAGACAACCGTGACATCCATTGATAAAAACCTGTTGAAGATGTTATACTATGAGTCCTGGTGGGTGTTTCTGCTGGTTTTAGGTTTCTTTAAAGTAGCTATATGTCAAGAGCTGGAAGCTGCTGCTAAATTGGTCCAGTTAAACCAATGAACCAGCTGGTATATAGTAAATAGTAAATAGTAAATAGTAAATAGTATTAAGTATGAGTGGAATATAAACCCACAGACACACCAGCCTTCCAGGACCAGGACTGGATTCCCCTTTCCTATGCTTCTGTTTTTAAAAGGCAAACAATCTGTCCCTTTTGAGTAATTTGACAAGAATATTAAATTCAACTTTGAAACTGGATTTTCATATTATCTAAAAATAAAGGGCCGACCAACAGCAATTGAAACTCATTTCCTAACACACAACACACATTTGAAAAGCACAATGAAAGAGCATCTTATACCTTGTCAATTCCAGCCTGTCTGCAGGGAAAAGAGAAGGTAAATCCCAAAGGTAGCCGACTGTTTTTCATCCCCATGTAGTCAAGGAAATCCGAAATACATTGTACAATGTGATCAAAGAGCTGTAAGAGAGACAGGTGGCAGTTGTACAGATGTCAGAGCTGTGGAACGCAGCTCGTGGCACACAGGAGAAATGAATGTGTCTTACCTCTTCTCCAGTTCCTTGCATAATTTCCAAAGGGATGGCATAGATCTTGTTGTACATTCGGACTGATCTACGCAACCCACTGCGGATTTTGACCACAAGTACCCGGAAATTGGTCCCTCCAAGGTCCAGTGCGAGAAACTTCCCCCTTTCTGGCATCAAACATATTTAAAGATTGAAAAAAATGAGGAACAGTTCTGTAAAATGACTTGCACTAACACTGAACCATAAATAAAGACTGGGAGTGCTGCGCTTATGCGGATTTTGTAATTTGCCACCCGGAAGGCCACAGTATACCTGACATCGTTAAAGCAAGAGGTTGCTATCTTTAAAAGAGATAAAGAGAACAAAGCCAATTAAATCATGTCTTTCAATCTTTGAAAGAGAGCAAAGCCAAGGAATGTAACCTTAACTCACTGATGAATTATGATCATTAATAATTGCTTACACTATAGTGCTATAGTGCTTTCTGGACACTCCAATCAAAGCGTTTTACAGGTAATGGGGACTCCCCTACACCAATGTGTATCTCCACCTGGATGATGCGACAGCAGCCATACTGCGCCAGAACAATCACCACACACCAGCTATCAGTGGGGAGGAGAACAGTGTGATAAAGCCAATTCAAAGATGGGGACTATTAGGAGGTCATGATTGGTAAGGGTCAATGGGAATTTTAGCCAGGACGCTGGGGTAACACCCCTACTCTTGCCCTGGGATTTTGAATGACCACAGACAGTCAGGACTTCGGTTTTATGTCTCATCTGAAGGATGGTGCCTTTTACAGTATAGTGTCTCCATCACTATACTGGGCTATTAGGACCCACACAGACTGCAGGGTGAGCGCCCCCTGCTGGCCCCACCAACACCTCTTCCAGCAGCAATCTTAGTCTTCCATCCAGGTACTGACCAGACTCACACCTGCTGAGCTTCAGTGGGCTGCCAATTGTGCGTTGCAGGGTGATATGACTGCTGGCTACACTTGAATTATGGTTACATTAATTGATGAAGGAAAACATTTTATGACGCAAATCTTCAAATAAGCGTTAAAGACAAAAATCAGACCCACTTCACAGATGAAAGTACTGTTCACTGTGGTGGGAGGAGGACTTCATACCTGTCCCATTGGGCGTCCTGTACACGTACGTGGGCAGCATCTTGACCGAGGCGGTGTGGTGCGTGTCCCTCCTCAGGCCGCGCTCCAGCTCCACCCTCATCTTGTCCCTGACGTCCCGCAGCTGCTGGCGGGACAGCCTGAGGGGGGCCAGGGTCTCCGCGATCTGCCGGTGCTGGGACACCAGTCTTTGCGCTACCGCCGTCACCATGGCGGCGCCCTTGCCGCTGCCGCACTCCGAGAGCAGGAAGCGCACGTGGCAGTCGGGCACCAGCCGGCGTGCCACCTTGTGCAGCCGCTTGGCGTATCTAAAGCACGGGCACATCGGGCTCAGTTACTGCGCGCTGGGCGCTAGGACGCTAACAGGTACAAGCAGTGAGATAAACAGCCAAGATGAAGGGCTGCTTGGACTTTCAGAAGTGAAGATTCAAAGCACTTCGAGCTTGATGGAACTCAACTGAACTGAATTTGCTATTACCTTTCCTTTTTTTAACAATCTCCAGTTTTGAATTTCCAATCAACCAGACTCTCCAACCTTCCTCAGGTAGAAAACCACATAATACTTTCTTCTGAAATGTGTTTGGCTGGTGCCATCCTTCGTTTTTCACCCTTTGTGTCCCACAGTGCCCACAGGACAGTTCATTTCAACTGGAGGTTTGACACAGTTCATGTCATAGCTTGCGGTCATGTGATAATCCACGGGTGGCCTAGTCAAAGAGGACTTCCTTTATCACCTTTCTATTGTACTTTAACTGTGCCCTGTTTGAAGTGCTTGAAAGAGAATCTTTGAAACGTTTCTTTGAACTTAAAACATCTATTGGCTCCCAGATTATAAAAGATGGTACTTTGCACAGACGTTCGAAAAAAGCATCGTTGACATTTGCCACCACCCCTCCCCCCAGAACTGCAAAATTTGCCCCATTACAGAGTCACCTACTGGGGGTGGGTCCGGTAGACGGTTCCGTCCACTCCCACGGTGGTCCTCAGGACCTTGAGCCGTTTGTTCTCCCGAATGCGCGTGAGTATGGCCGCCAGGGCCGCGGCGCAGAGGTTGGCGGACCTGAAGGAGACAATGGTGCAGACGTGCTGGACAGCGATGCAGTCTTGCTCTGAGGGATCCAGGCCCAGAGAAGTAAGGATCTCTTTTGTGTTGCTCAAACCCTCCTTGTACCTGAAACATGAAAATCACTGTTATCCACAACCTGACTGGGCATCTCCTAGTAAAACACACAGAAAAGGAAATCACTCCAGATGTCACAAAATCTCTTAGAGCAGGCAGTGCAAAGTACAGGGCACAGCGACATCTCGTTTAAAAGTTTGATGCATCGGAGGCCGATGAATTTCTGTGAGGTTTCTCACAGCCAATCATATTGACACATTTAACACAGCTGTAAAACCTCGCTGTCAGTTGTAAAACAACTTCTGTCTCTAAGACATCACTATAAATTACAGTGTAGGACAAGCTATTTTTGAAAGGCCAGGCACTATGAAATATTTTATAAGCAAAAGGGCAGAACTGCGATGTGGCAGGCAGCAGAGCGTTCTCAAAGATCATGGATCCTGGGTTCGATTCTGGACTTGAACTCCAGGTTCACATACAGTAGGTTTTCTCCAGGTGCTCTGGTTTCTCCCCACCTCCCAAAGACATGCAGGCTGGGTTAATGAGTATCTCTGTGTACTTGTGTGTCCCTGATGGATTGGTATATTGTCCACGATGTTGCCCTGCCTTGCACTCTGTATTTTTCAGAAATGGACTCCTGGGGATAGTTCCCCAGTAAGGGTTTGCTGACAATGCATGGATCAGAGGATGTGTACAATTACTAATATATAACATGCAGTGGTTCAAATAACTGCTTGCATATCAATTATACAAATCCAGTAGTCTATATGATGTTCAATTAATATTAACTAAATTATTTCCATTTACTTGTCCATAATGTTTTCAGCACACAATTTGAAGTTGCAGTTGACATTCATTCACATCTTAACAGAAACGTTCATCACTATATCCATATCTTGAATGCGAACGGTTGCTGATGATACTCCTTGTCATCCTCCCACAAAACCTGATCTGATCATGAACACCTCGGAATGGTACTGCAGAGCCTCGCAACAGAAGTCTTACTTCTCAATGGCACAGACGTATTTGGTCTCGAATTTGCCTTTGGTTCGCAGAGCATCGGATGCCTGGCTGTTGAATAGCAAGCCTTTCTTAGTCATCTTCAGGAGGATGAGTCTCACCAGCTCGCCCATGTACAAGCCACTGATCATTTTCTCGAACCTGGGGACGCAGTACAAAGAGTGGGATTAGAAACAGATCAGAGATTCTGATTTGGACAGGTGTTGGCACCTTCCAAATGATCTTTTTCTTCAAGCAATGAGGCAAATCTTGTCTATTTTGCCACAATGGGATTGTGGCCCTCTTCAAATAAAACAATTTGATGCTATTGTTTTTTGGCACGTGCCTAACTCTCTTTATGCACTACGAAATCATTAAAGCTTGGACACAGTACTTGTCATGTCCGTATAGAACATTTTGTTGTTGTTTTTTTCATTTAGGAAAACATATCAGTGTATGCATTTGCATTCTTGTATGGAAATACATTTATCTTACAGGACGCACATTCCACTGGTTGTGAACATTAATGCCTCTACAGAAACTGTTATCAGCTACTTGTATTATGTTCAAGTGTCAGCAGACCTTGTGTCTGTGGTGTTACACAGTAGCTACTCTGACAGCATGAGCAGTGATGGGATGCTTACAGTTGCTGCCCGGGGTTGATGGACGCTGCGTCAATCTCTCTGTCGAAATCCGTGATGAAGTCATCAAGTGAGCCGTCATCCCCAAAAGCTCCCCATTCCGTGTTGATGCACATCCGGCCCTCGTCCCCTTCCACCAGGTCAATGTGCCTCATCTCCTCCATGTAGCACGCATTGGTGCCAGTGCCTGCGGGCGATCAGAGCCCAGCATGGCGTAAGGCATAAGGCCGTGACGCAAGAGTCTGGCTCACACAGCTGGGCAGATACACTATCGTCTGTACTGTACTAACAACAATACATAATAATGCTTGGTTTTGATTTCATTGAAAAAATTATTAAATTAATTTCTGAAAAAATGGAAAGTGAATTTCAAATGTGAAACAAAGTGGGGGAAGTCCTTTCTCTAGTATTCCGTAAGTAAAAAATATCTAGAGCACCAAAAAAAAAAACAGAATAGAAAACTAAAAAACAATCTCCTGGTCTTCAACTAAATGTTATCCCAGCAACTGCAATATTGGCAGGAGGGACTCGTCTCAGTTGTTGACCCAACATCACACACTAACACAATGTAACAAATACAATAAATAATACTGGAGACTACAGCTTCAGTGTAAGCTCACCCACAATGACTCCGACTTCACAGTTTTGGTCATCGTATCCACAGGTCATCATGGTTCCCACAGTGTCGTTAACTAGGGCCAAGACATCCACATCTACTCCCTGAAAAGGAGACACTTGAAGGTGCAAGAAAGGACAAAGTATTCCTGGGCACTAGAGGGCAGTGAAGTCTACCAACTCTGTTCCTTTTAAGTTACAAAGACTATACGTGTGCAGACAAGGGTCCCTGTGTGTTGTTTTCTTTCCTGACCCACATGAGGATTAAGGTATTTTACATCCCTGACCCACAGAAGGTGAAAAACGTGTTCATCTTATTGGCCCGTCTGATTAATAAAACTATTAAATAATGTGCTGCCGACAGGCAACTGCTTTGGAAAATGGAAATGGAAGGAATGTTTTCAGCCGTGTCACAAACAAATGTCTCTGTGACAAACCAGTACTGAGCCTGACTAACAAAAACCGGTAATGCATACTGCTGGTAAGGCAATATGAACTAACAGATGTCAGGTTCTCTGGAGAGCTCCAAGATTACCCCAAGTCTGTCAATCGCCTCCCGTAGTAACTCCACTACATCTGTGCCTCGAACCCCCCTGGCTTTGAAGTTCTTCGACCATGACAGCAGGACTCCCTACAAGACAGGAAGGCAGAGCAAATTCCATTCCATCTTAAGAAAAGGATTCTTCAAGGATAAATCTTGTTTATTCATGCACATAAACATTTTTGTTCATTTCTCTACAGCAGGTCAATGCATTTATCTTTTTTTTAAAAAAAATATCTATATTTTCTTGTGAGAGGTTCGTTGAAGGTTTTGAGAAGCCACTGAACAAAGTGACAGTGCTGTGAAATGTTATACACACCCATCGATTATTAAGCCTGAAACATGTTATTCTAAATACCTTTAAATGTCAAGAAGTCCCACTCGTGTAAGAGGAGAAGACAGATCATGCCAATAATCTCTTGGGCCTTTGCAATACTTCTTTCCAAATTGGATGATTCTGACTTCAATACATGCAGTTTATAAGCATTATAACAAAACTACTAACTCAACCTTTGGGTACAGCAACTATCGAAAGGCAAAGAAGGTGTTTTAATTCTCAGTGATTTCTGTCAAAGTCCACTTTTACTTTCCTGGAGTTTGAAACCTCCATCTTAGAATGTATGTATTACAGTGGACAGTTAAAGAAAATTACACCCAAGGCTGTCCTGACTGCCAAAGTTACCAGTTACTAGAGTGCCAAAGAGTGAAACTAAGAAAACCAACACCAGCCAGCCACCATGTTCAGCAAGAAAAATCCCAGATATGACTGCCCAGCATCTTCAAAACAGCTCCAGCGTGTTTCACCCACTCCAGTTACCTCATCCAGTTTCGACTGTCTGCAGGGGAAGGAGAATGTGATCCCCAGCGGCTGTTTCCTCTGATTGATGTGTTTCCTCTGCATGAAGTCCTTCAAGCTCTCAGCAACATGGTCAAAGAGCTGCAGAAGAGGCAGGTTACAGGTTTCGCACTGATTCGATGTGGGGTTAGTGGGACACTGGTGCCAATGTGTTGTGCTGAAGGGTTCTGCTGCTTACATCTGTGCCCTTGCCACTGCGGATCTCCTCTGGAGTGGGGTAGGTGATGCTGTCCATCTCCACAGTCCTCTTCCCGGCATCAGACACCTTCACCTGCAGCACCTTGAACTTCGAACCTCCCACGTCCAGCGCCAGGAACTCACCCTTCTCTGAAACACAATTGGACTTTGCCTGACAGGCGGCCTCAGAACACACCAACTATTCATGTATTGAAGAAGTCACCCAGAGGCAACCAGTCCTCAAGGATCCCAGGGTTTCGACACTGAAGTGGGACATGTTAATATTGCACATATCCGGCATTGCAATATTACTACTTAACCACATTGTGGAAGGTGCTGCTGGGAGCTGTTAATTTAACCTTCACCAACAGCTATGCTAAGATGCAATATACAGTAGCTGATTGGCTTTAGCAGTTCCTGCGATGATAGGACCACCAGCCATAAACATACAGTACCACAAACAGGATAAAGCAGATCAATTTCTGCTGCACATCAAAGGACAGGACTTAGAGCAGGACAAAGCAGTTCTACCTAGGCTACATTCTGTATCAAAGGACAGTACAAATATCCATAACGGACCATAAAACTGTGCAACAAAACTTCTTTCTGAGCCCATACTGTATAGAAGAGTTGGAATCCCCTTTCAGGGCCTGTTCCTCGGGGCAGACCCAGTGCGTGAGGTCAAGAAAACTGAATCTGCACAAGACTGTGTCCTGCTCCCCGATTAAGAATTTCTCACAACAATACTATCCAACGAAACGGCGCATTTTCTTAACTGTCAGAAATGAAAGTTTTTCATGATATCAGAGCTCTCTTATAGAGCGCTATAAAGTGTACAGGGGAGTCTGAGTTTTGCTGTGATAGAGTTTACACCCATAAACTGCTCATAAAAATGTACCCAAATATTATTGTCATTGCTTTGTTATAATCAAAACAAAATGACAATGTCTCTACATTAACAACAACTACATTAACAACACTACATTGATCAAATAGTTTTTTCTTATTCATTAATGGCTTTATGATCGCATCATTTATCATCTTGTACTTGTACAGTACAGTATTTTCTTAAAAATCAACACAATGTTGGGAAGAGACCAGATACAGTAACTGCTAGTTCTTGCTAGGCTGCAGGTTATCGTTGAAGATCGTTTTCTGTGCTAATTCAATAATATTCAACTTTTCCAGCACAAAAATACTACATATATCAGAGCTGACCTTCTCATTTATGTATAAAAATCAATCCCGCATTCTTCACGCCTGTGATCCTGCCGGTTGATTCGAAAAAGAGGCCAACAGTCTCAAGGGCTGTTGAGAGTTAATCAACTTGTTTCCAACACATATTTGTTCAAGAGTTATGCGTGCAGTGCTAATTACCAAGAACAGCTTAATTCTCATTAACTCACATAAATTCATATGACCAGTTTCTTTATACTTGAAGTCTGTATAACTGAGAACAAGGCAAAGCACACGTTTAATTTCACACCTAAATCGCCGCATAAGTACAATGTCTGATGTTTAAGGAGAAATCAAGGGTGAAGTGGACCCTTTCAATGCCTGACACCATGCTAATCAACCATTTCATGATTCAAAATTCATCATAAACTCCTCCACACACGTCTATACACGGCAGTTCCTAGTCCAGCAAACTGAACCGCCTGCCCTGTCCGCGATTGTTTTCTGGAGAAAGGGGTGGGCGCCCGAAAGCTCTTGCCTCTCACCTGATCCGTCAGGGGTCGAGCGGACGTGAGTGGGCAGCATCTTGACCGCCGCCGTGGCGCAGCTTTCGCTCGACAGCCCCTTCTCCATCTCCGCCCGGAAACGCGCGGCGATGTCGAGGAGCTGGTCGTCCGACAGGCGCATGGCGTACAGAAACCGGTCGACCTGCGGGGGCCGAAGCGGCAGGGCGTCAGTGTGCAACCGCTGGAGCAACTGAGACCTGAGCAACCGGTATCTTGACGAGCGACAGACATGATTGACAACTTCAGCCTGAATTAATACGCAGGAAGTCAGATTCCATAAGCACAATTCCACAGAAGGAGGCTATTCTACAGATCTATAGCCAGCAGCTATATCATTCTGCAACTCGCAACTGACAACCCACTGAAGCTCAGCAGGTGTGAGCCTGGTCAGTACCTGGATGGAAGACTAAGGTTGCTGCTGGAAGAGGTGTTAGTGGGGCCAGCAGGGGGCGCTCACCCTGCATTCTGGGTGGGTCCTAATGGCCCAGTATAGTGATGGGGATACTATGCTGTAAAAAAGGTGCCGTCTTTTGGATGAGATTTAAAACCGATGTCCTGACTCTCTGTGGTCTTTAAGTCCCAGGGCATTTCTTGAAAAGTGTAGGGGTGTTACCCCGGCATCCTGGCCAAATTTCACATTGGCCTCCTAATAATTCCCATCTATGAATTGACTTCATCACTCTGTTCTCCTCCCCACTGATAGCTGGTGTGTGGTGAGCGTTCTGGTACACTATAGCTGCCGTCGCATCATCCAGGTGGATGCTGCACATTGGTGGTGGTGGAGGGGAGTCCCCATTACCTGTAAAGCGCTTTGAGTGGAGTGTCCAGAGAAGCACTATATAAGTGTAAGGAATTATTATAATCGTGATAGCTTTGTTGCTAGTATATATTCGTTTAATTGAATCATCTACCACAACAGGAGGTACAAACTCTACATAGGCAGCACTCCAGGTCTGAAATTGAACTCAGGGCCCCACTGCTGCAAGGCAGCAATGTGAACCACCACCATGATGCTCTAAAGATCCAGTTACAATGTTAGTTTGTTTCGGTACCTTGCCGAGTCTTCAAATAAAAGGAGTTCTATTAACTAGGGTGTTACTATGAAGGGTTTTGTATCAAAGAAAAAATAGGAAAATGTAGTTAATCCATTTGCTATGATTTCATGCACTAGTTCCTCACCCCAAAAGCAGCTTTACAGTCTTCCATGAGGCTTAAATACAACTCGAAGGAGAATTACAAGACAAGAATGTGAACTATGGCTTCCTTTTGAAATTAGGCTTTAGAGGAATTAAGACTCCTTTGCTGGATTTGACCTCAAATTCCTTTTGTGCACAGCAGAATCCGATGAGCTGTTACATACTGAACTCTGCTTTCTCTAGTAGTTATCTGGGCCTGTGTGTGCACACAAAAAGCCATCTGATTTGAAGGTAAAATTGGATTTACATATTACAGTGACAATTACTGTACATTCAGCAGTAACTGGCAACTTATTTCAACCTATGTAATTTCATATAAAGCCCAGCAAGCACCCACAGTACTAAAATTCACAAGTCAGGCAAAACCAACTTTAATTGATTCATTAATTTATTTAAGTTAATTAATCTCGAATCCTAGCTAACATTCAATTGTAGTACAGTGAATAGATATTGAAGCGTTCATAAAAATATACCCCAAAATTAACTTATTAGTTAATTAACTAAAATTAACTAAGGAAGTAGTTTTAGGGATCCTATTACGGATATTCAACAAAATCCATTTCTTGGAATACTAGAAATCAAGTGTGCAGATGATTAGGTGAAACGTAGTCTGGTAACAATTAAGTCAATGTACATCACCAGCATAGAGATACATGAGGAACTGAATTTGTGTGAAAAGAAACTATATTCTTTTTTTTTTAAAGGAAGCGTGTCCTACTGCAGACCCAGGAGGTGACGCAGTCAAACAACAGGAGATGGAGGTGTGCTTTGAAGAGTCACGTCCGTTAGACTGAGCTGTGAAGAGTCCTGGCTGTGGCAGTGCCACCAGCCTCACTGCTTCACTGCCAGCGCGTGAGCACAGAGGCCACCGAGAGCTGCTTGTGAACCTTTTTTCACAGCTAGAACAGGAAAATGTGAATTTTCACAACTGGCCTGGGAACTCAGTGGGCTGTAGTCTTATACTGCGTGGAAGTGAAATAAATCACTGTTGTTACTCCCAAGGTGCACATTTTAAAATAATAGCAGCTTTATTCCTGCTACGGTTCTACACTTCCAGACATGCATAATTCAAAGCAGTGGAGCCCAATGTTTACTCCATTGTACTTTTTGGACAATCAGTCTGTATAAACCTATGCACATTTTGCACATATTTTATTGATTCTACAGTGACTATGATCAGCACATTTTGCACACACCTATGTATTTATTTTTATTTATCTTGTTTGTCTTTTGTTTTATAACTATTCTGATGTCTGTTTTGCTTGTCTTGGGCTGGACTGCTATAACACATCAATTTCCCTACGGGATTAATAAAGTATTATCTATCTATCAACCCTGGTCCTTGGGAGCAACAGTATCTTCTGTGTGTTGACACAGGCTCACCTTTTCCCATTGACACCCGATTTAAAGACACGAATAACATGCAATCTTATGGTGGCACAGCACTGGGCTCAGAAGTGCAAGGTGCACAGGCGACTCATTAACCACTGCTTTAATAAAATTACACAGTTAATCATTCCCCACAGTTTCAAAGGAGATAATAGTAACATCTGTGGCAGTTCAAGGTTCTGTAGCTGGGCAATGTCACTGATTCAATCTTGAAGAGAAAGGTGATCCTGATAACCCACAGACACACTGATACTTTGTTCCTCTGATTTTAAATGCTTTAAGGAACTGATTTACTGTAATCCTTTATTTGAATGGTTTCAGTTGATCCTTTTTCTATGATATAACTGTACTGTATAAATACATCTTCCAATTGCCGTATTTTCCTTGTTTTTTATGTTTACGTATAGAGTAAAGATAAAAAAATTATAAAAATACTAATTAATAATTTAATAGAGTAAACTTCAAAGATACTCCTTTCAGGACTTCCTGAATTTTGTTTGCAGAAGATAAAATGCCTCATATTAAGACTAAGTACAATTCCATATTAAATCTGACATTTGATGATCATGAAACACTTTTTCTAACAGTTTTTCAAGTGGGAACTATGTTATGTTTTTTCTATTTTGTATTTAAGTTAATCTATTGCTAAATTTTCAACTCTCCACTATTTACAAATAGTAAATCAATAAAGAAAATCCTCAAATATCTGAAGATCATGCAATCGTATTCTGGCTGTAAGATGTTTTGTGTTTAAAATTAAAATTAGTCAGGTGTTCTTTTCTTCTATAATTTATCAGGGTAAATATTCCACGTTTTTTGATGGACATGAAAGATTTTCTGTACATTTACAAATAGCAATAAATATTTTTGGAAAACTACTTCAAAGCTAAAATTATTCATGATGAAGCACAAAAAATCCATTATGAATAGAGCAAATTACTCCATCTAAAACCATTAAAACTCAGATCAAACAGCTTGGCTTCAGACAGGGTTTGGATTGTATGAGTTCATATGCCTGCAGTCCCTGTATGTTTTAGTGTTTAGTTGCTTTGGTCTCCACATCTATCATCCTGCCACCCACAGATACTTCTAGGTCCTTCTCATACATCAACAACTGTTTCCTGGGAAATTCTGCCATCCTTGGGTTTTGATAATAGTGCCATCTATTCTTCCTTAACTACAGAATATCAATTACATTAACATGCATTTAATTCTCACAAGACTAATTCTCAGTAAATGAACAGTTTCTGTGTTATAAAGCTGTATAGGCTCCACCTGCACAATGATCTGAAACTGAGAGACAATCTCAATCCAACTAGCAGTGGGTCACTGAAAGCAAGCTCAGCGAGATGTCAAAGAAAATTTAAAAACTCACCTTTGCGATTTGGTCTTCCTTCAGTTTTGAAAAATAAAATGAGAGCAAATGCACAGCGAACATCTTGAGTCCTGGACAATTTCCTCAAGTACTTCTTCCCAGCAGTGCTCCTAAATTCCCGCTATTTCATGTGCTATTCCCGTGTTTACTATGGTCACCTTTGTTGTTGTTTTTTTAATTAGGACCAATTTTCCTCTTTGGGAAGATCACTCCTCCTGTGCCCAGATGAAGTCTTCATGCCTTGAAAAATGTTTCTTTCAGGGAGCCCAGTCTCCAGTCTAAGCTAGAGCCCACCCTCATCTGGTTCAATAATTAATAGCTCAGCCTCTCACTGACTGCTTCACTCTAGCATTTCTCCTAGCAATCCACTGGCTTCCTTCCAAGGCAAAAGGACTGCCTTTCTGGCTGTGCCTGCTTCACAAAGACCAACTCCTGCAGAGGTGCCCCTGCCTTGGGGAGGGGGTCTGAAGATAATGGTAGAAGCACACAATGCAGACATGTGGAGTCTCAGAACACAAATCCAGTCTAACCTAAACCAAAACAGCCTAAGCACTGACTTACTCATAAAGTTCCATGGCACCATAGTATTTTCAATTTTCTGTATTTTACCATAACCTAATTCTGCCATTCAAGGCTTTAAGATAATAAGGACAGTATTTGAAGCTGGTAGCTGAAGACATCCATACTGTATGTTAAAGACAGGAATGGACCCATGCACTCAAGCAGTATCAATATTAATGTGCAATTCCAGTACAGCTTATCCCTTCTTGATGCAGTTAGCAGAAAGACGGAACTAAGCAATTATAGCCATGCCTTCAATTATAACATGCCTTCAGAGTTATGCTGGCAAAAATCCTTTGCAGTCTTCTTTTTAGCATCACAAAAATCTGCCTGAAATCAGAAAACCAGAGTTTCCCGCTCCTTGCATTGTAGCAATGTTTAATCAGCAGGTTCCAATCATATCAGTGGGAGTGATGCAAGAACAGCACTCTGATCATCAGGGAGCTGGTGGGAAGAGACTGGGAGGTTTTCACTGCACCCAGAATCTCTCCATTCATTCTACAAAACATTGACAACATGTTGCATGAGCTTGGCATTGCTCTTTAAGCCCCTTAAAGGAAATCTCCGTATATTTTAATAAATACTGGTTTTCAAGCAGGTTCCACAAATCTCTTTTCCAAAACATCATGGACATCCAAAGGTTTGGCTTGGCCCACTGTTCAATATGGCCTTGGGGTTTTTTCCGTTGAGTGAGAGGAGGTTTGTGAAGCTGTTTTTCTTCAGCAGAGTTAAACAGACGAGCCTGGGGAGCATGAGAGATACTGTTGAGAACTGTGACCTTGGAGCTAAACTGTAGCTAAGCTGAAGCTGCCTGGCAGTTACACCTTGTGTTGAAAAACCCACTCCTTTGTTCAGACTGTAGAGAACGTCACAGTCAAAATTGTAAGGCTGGCTGTAGCATATGATCTGTAAGTCTCAGAAACCAGAAAAATCATTCAGTCTTTTTTGGGATTTATAATAGAATATCCGGAGAGTGAAAAGTATGGAACATATGACGAAGCTTTATTTCACATTAATTTTGTTTTTACGTTGCAACCATGAAACCTAAAAACTGTGTGATGAAAATGAAGGTCTACTCAACATGTACACTTGCAATTAGCAATTGCATTTAGCCATCATTAGCCATCCTTTGCAACCTACACATGCTGATGCAGCTACCCACCTGAGCTACATTAGCCATCCTAACCCTGAAACTGCATTCCTTAGTGTTAAAGTTTAACTAGACCTGTCTTCCTGAAGCTATGAGTCACAGACAATACAAAACCATTTATCTTATCTTAACAACTCATTGTTAGAGAAAACCCACCTTCACTCGGGAGCCCAGAATACAGTGATAAACCATTAGAACACAATACAGCTCCAACTAAACTCTGGGAACTGAAGTCTGCATTCTACAGAGAAACAAGATGGGTGAAGATAAAAGCAAAAGGTAAAAGATTAATAGTATCAACGACATAAAAAACTGATTATTTAAATTATCCTTGACTTTATAATAGGAGCCGCTAAATGACAATATTGTGTGGAGGATTGCATGTAAAAAAGAAAACTTTTTCATAGTGGTAGTTCTACGTATTACAGTTAACAAACCTTCTCGTCAGAATAAGTTTTAAGATCCCCGAACCCTCACTTCAGAAATGCACTGAACAAGTCTGAATATTTCCACTGACTGAAAAAAGGTTTCTATGCCAACGCTCAGCTAATTAAAGCTGAACTTTTCACTCTGGACTTTGTAACCGATCATGTCTTATAATACTACAACTCAGTCTAGGCCATTATCAAATGTGTTTTTCTTTTTTATAATTAAAATCAAGTGTTCATAAAATCTGTTTTAGATTGTGTTATGATAAACATCTTAACACATCATGAATTTAAGTATTAAAAAATGGGCATGCACGTCTGCGTACCTCAGTCTTAATGCATATGTAATAATTAGTTGGTGACTAATATGTTGATTACTTACTCACTTGATCACTGAGTGCAATTATGTGTGTTTTTTAATTAAATGCTGCACTAAAAAAAGTGTTCAGTATACACCTCAAGACTTTTTAAAATCCCTGATGGCAGGCCAGCCTGTTGATGTAAAATAATTGTTGATCTGCTGCCAGCAGAGCACAATAAGTCAGTCTGGGTTGCCAAGATACTAACATTTTTCAGAATTAGGCTCAAGGTCTTAATGAGAAAAAGAGGACCAGTCCAAACTCACTGTATACAGATTGAAGAAATCTTTGTCTACCAATGTATTCATGAATCAAGCACCAATTGCTACAAGGTTTAATTTTAAATGTGTTTTGTCATTGGGGCGGGATAATAGCATGAGCCTTAATTTTACCCGCCTACCCCCACACAAAAAAGCTAGACCAAGGCAAGAGTAAAAGCATGCTGCACACCTGTTTTCAGGAACCGAAGATCTACTGAAGGAAGACTTTGCTGGACAGTCCAGAGACTTTGCGCGGTTCATGCAAATGGACGACAGTTCAATGCATCAAGTACAAACACCAACCGAACCATGCAGCCTCTTACCAGTGATCCCATATACAAAGGAGAAAGCATCAGGAACACAGAGAAGCAGGAGCAGAGGGAGACGGAATTCACTCAGAATGTGCAGCACCTGAGCAAGAAGCTCACTTGCTACAGTCTACACTGTCAACTTTCAGTAGGCAAAATATTCCAACAGGACACCTGTTGTACCCGTTCAAGGCAGAAACAAGCAAATAAACGAATACATTTACCTTCTGCTTTTCTGCAAGTTAACTGTCAACACTGCCCCTCAGAGAGGGCCATCTGCAGTTAATAAGAGCATGACTGACACCCAAGCTATTTCTGCTATCGGCTCCAGAAAGCAAAACAGCTCTAAGAATAAAGGGATATTAAAACTGTTAATTTTATGTTGTCAAAGCACATTAATTTTATTTTTAAAATATAGATTTGATCAATAAATACTTGCTTCTTTTTAAATGCATTATTCATTCAGTACACATAAAAAGCTAAAGGAAGTGAAATGCAGTTTTTAAAACAAACAGCATCCTTGTAAAACAAAGCCTTACAGCTATTTTTTTTATTATCATAACGTTTATTTAAGTGAGTAAGAATAGCAACACATCTCAGAAAGTCATATACTATTTGCAGTATAACAGTGTAATCTACCCACAGAAAAATAACAACAACCTAAAAAAGTAAAACTGTAAAAATAGGGAGGCAAATAATATCAAGCATCCCATGATTGTGAAGACAGACACGGTCCAATAAACTTTAGCAGAGACAAATTACTATAAAATACCCATTTTCCATACACTGATAAATGAAGTCAGACAGCAACTGACTTACACATGTGTTGGTCAGATAAGCAATCATGATTAGGTATGTTCCTGAAAGCGTGGTTCATTAAGACAAAAACTGCATGGAAAAATTCATTTAGGTATTTTAGTGAATGGTCATGGAATCTAGCAGGCATATCACCCTAAAACTCACAACTGGCAATCCACTGAAGCTCAGCAGGTGTGAGCCTGGTCAGTACCTGGATGTGAGACCTCCTGGGAAAACTAAGGTTGCTGCTGGAAGAGGTGTAAGTGGGGCCAGCAGGGGGTGCTCACCCTGTGGTCCAGGTGGGTCCTAATGCCCTAGTACAGTGACGGGGACACTATGCTGTAAATAAGCACCGTCCTTCGGATGAGACGTAAAACTGAGGTCCTGACTCTCTGTGGTCATTTAAAATCCCAGGGTGTTTCTTGAAAAGACTAGGAGTGTAACCCCGTGTCCTAGGGAAAATTTCCCATGCCTCCTAATAATCTCTATGAAGTGGCTACATTACTTTGTTCTCCTCCCTCCCCCCACCTCCGACGGCAGGTTGGAGTATTCTCGGTCGCAGTTAATGGCAACGTCAGCTCAAAGATTTGGTTCAAACCACCAAATGGAGACGGGCGTGCCGACAAGCGGACCCTGCTGATGGGGGATTAACGCTAGGAAAGAGAGAGAGAGTGAATGTTCATGGACTATGAACTTGAATCCAGAGCACCAACAACCTTTAAAAGGCAACAATATAGTCGAAAGCAAAATGGGAAAACACCCACTACCAGAGCCTGGTTCTTCCGAGCAGAAAACACCCCAGCGATATCCATGGCAACCTTCCACATCAACTGTGGCATTGGGCCTGCTGTGTTTAAGGCAACAGAAGATACGTTCTCTTGTAACCACTATTCTCTGACTGATACACGGCTGTCCGCCTGGGTCTCTTTATTGTCAGCAAGAAATCAATTCCTCTCCCTTTTTGATTGTAAGAACTTACCCAGGAACTTTTCTCCTGTACAGGTACATACGAGACCAAAGCACTGGTATAATGAAGCCAAATACTTTCACTTTCTGGATTTGGATTTTTTAATTTTTCCCAAGTGGTGCAGAGAATACAGTATAATGATCCAGTCCACTTCCACTTGTATGTATTTTTCGATGTTTCATCCAGCCTGTAATCAGTAACCGATCTAAAAAAGAATCACTTCATAGTGCTGCCAACAAAAATTAGCAATGCACAATAAATCGGTTTGCTGCCGTTTATTAGCCCTACTCATGACATGTTGCATAATGTTTCTTTTACCAATGTTATTCCAAAAATAAAACCCTCATTAATGAGTTCAGTATTCAATAAACACAGTAACCTAATAAAATCCATACGGGAGAGGTTACTTCTTTTTCTTCCCTCGGGCACTTGGCTTGCTGTCATTCCCAGACTCACTCCCCGAGTCCGCCCAGCGGGGGGGCTGCCCGCTCGACCACTCCCTCTGCAGCTGCTCCAGGAGGTCGGGGGTGAGAAGGCCCTCCTGAATGAGGCGAGAGCTCAGCGAATCCTTCAGCCCCTTCTGCCCGTCCTCCACCCGAAAACCCAGGATTTTGGAGCTCCGCACCCTCCTCTGGCTGGGCTTCTGCGCTCTGGCTCTCCAAAGCTCCTGGTAACTTGCCTTCCTGTCCGTGGAGAACGGGCTGAGGAGGGGAGCGGCTTCGTCCGGGCCAGACAGAGCACCGGAGGAGGAGGAGGAGGAGGGGAAGGCGCTGGCCTCGGAGGCGCGGATCAGGCGCGTGATGTTCCGCACGCCAATCTGAATGATGTTGTCCAGCTCCTTCTGAATGTCCCGGACAAGGCTGGCATCAGGAAACATGTCCATGAAGCGATAGCTGAGGAAGAGTCACATGAGACACAGGCTCAGACCCTAAGTCCCAATAGAACGGAAGGATCAGTAATGAGAAGGAGGCTGTTTGCAATACAGTAGATCACTGTTTGCCATAAGAACCCAGCTTCCAGCATTGTCCATCGGTCATGAGACGATCTGTTACACAGTATAATTGATCGACTATCAAACAGATTTTAAATTACATATGACTGTGCCAGCCAGAATGTCTGCAAACATTATCTATCCATTTTCTATCTGCTATATCTAATACAGGAGCATGAGGGAGCCACAGTCTATCCTGGCAAAGTACGACCTTGACAGGACTGCAGTTCATCACAGGGCAGGCAGACAGAAACACAGATGCGCACACACTCACTCCAGGGCCAATTTTCCAGGAAGCCAATTAACCTGCCAGGATATTTTTGTGCTGTGGCAAGAAACCAGAGCACCAGGAAGAAGCCCCTGAAAACACCATGTACTCATCACACCCATCATCAAGAAATGATCTCGTTCGCTTGTACTGAACGAGACTGAATACTGTCAAAATATCATCCCATAAAAAGAAAAAAACATTCCAATACGCTCCTGGCACAGAAGACGTAATTAAGGGAAATTATTGATTGGTATGCACAGAATCTACCTGAACGTCACAACCTCAAACCCAAGCTACCTTAGCCAGAGGTACAGGTCCAGCACATCGTGAACAGCCTCCAGGTGTATCAGATCTTTGATGTTCCTGGGGGGAGCCAGAGGCCAGCTGATGTGTCCGCACACCCAGCTGAAGGTCAGAGGCTCATCTCTGCTGAACTGCCTGGCAAACTGGAAACAAAGGGCAATACACTGCACTGAAACAAGGAGGAACATGGGGAAAAGCTAAAAGGAAATAGCTTCTTACGTAGGCTTAATGGGATTTCACAGGAACAAACAGTGCAACTTTCCTCTCAGTAATTCTGAAAACATACTGTACCTCTGCAGGACATTGCCCACAGGGGTCTGAGCTGCTCGCCTGCCATAAAACACCACCAATATGCTCCACAGCAAGGCAATGCTCCAAAAACAAAAACAGGAATATAATATAATGACAAATATTTAATGCTGTCAAGCAGTAAGCCAGGGTGCACTGAAGCACAGCATGTTCAAGCCCAGATGCCTAAAGACACTCATCCCCAATCCACGACCAAGGCCTCGCGATCAGCACGGCTGCAGCCACTGTGCTGTCAGTCCAAAAAGCCAAAACCATTTAGAGAAGGTAAATCCCCTTTCGGCTTCCGAGGGTTGAGAGGAACGTACTTTTAGAAAGGAGGTGCAGACAAAAGGCTGCTTCTTGTTGATGGGCGCAGTGCAGAAGACATAGCGAGACCGCAGGTTCAGAGGAATGTGCTGGATCATGTCGGCCAGGAACTTAAAGTCATCGATGTTGCAAACAAAGTACATCCCATCCACTTGAGAGAGGCTGACAAAAATATCCTGCGAAAAACAAAAAAATCTGTTCGGCACTCAGGAAAGCTTAGAATTCCTTATCTTTATTTATTATCTTTTCATTGAGACTGTACTTGACATGCTGCGGATGATTTATACCAAAGGCTATATAAATCGCTAGCCTGCTATTTATATTACGGAAATCACATTCTGCACTTACGATCAGATTTGACAAGGTAGCTTCAGGAAGGTGGTAAGCAAACATTTCAATCTGCTCTGCTGTGGGATGGAGTCCCGCTGTCTGGGAAAAGACATGAACAGGAGTAATTGCAAAGCATTTTAAAAAGGCTGTTCAAGCAAAAACAAACGATACAAAACAAAAAGGGCAGCCAAAGGGTGTGTTTTAATGAAAGTGGTAAGATTCACATGAATGAACACAAAGAACGTTATTTGCAGTCTTTGTCCCTAGATGTAAAAAGAATAGTTTTTGAACAGGGCAGAGATGCCAAATTTGATATTGTGTATGTCACCAGGTTACAAAAAATGTCATATGCAAACTTTCCACATCTTGATGAAGGACTGCGCCAAAAGCTTGAATTTTTTAAAATGCTATCAAAATTTAAACCTTTATTTTCTATTTTAATTTCATAATGGACATAAGCATCAAATAGTGCACAGACAAGGATAATGCTGAACCCACAGCTCCAGCTGCCAAATTAAGCAAATTTGTTTTTCATATCACGTGCACTACTATGGATTCATTGGAGGTTGTACCCTTGGAGCCATCTGCTGCGCCCACTCACCTCAATGGGGTCCACAGCGCGTCCCAGTATCTCCTTCAGCACGAGCAGGTCATCGCGGTGCATGGTGGTCACTTCGCCCTCTTTGAAGACGGAGCTGAAGCGGCCCGCGCGGCCTGCGATCTGCAGCGCCTGGGAGGTGCTGATGGTGTCCATCTCCTTCTCTCCCTTCTCGTTGACCGAGGGCTTCATCAGTGAACTGAAGATGATGCGCTTTATGCTCCTGGGCGAGACGAGCAACACTGATCAGAGCTGAGACACCCAGTATGTCTTACATTTTAGGTGCAGATTTGTTGACAGCGGCCATTCGTTTTTTACAATCCAATTCAACCCAGTCATGCCATCCTGTGTGTCATCAACCCCCCCCCCCATTTCTTTCGGGACTGTAAGGCACATATGCAAACAGCAGGCATTTTGTGCCACAGCCATCACTGAGCAGATCCAAAATTCACAGAAGGCATCAATGTTCACTGGAGGGAGATAAGCCAAGATTGGCCCACCCAACCCTGGTAGTTCTTAGCAAAATGCGTGGTACATCCTGTAGCAACCTATAAGCTACAGTGTTCATCCCAGACTCCAAACTAGATCTTTCAACAGGATGTCAAGAGGCAAATTCCAATAGGTTTTACTGTCAACCTAAATGTTGTCAAACACTCACAGGTTTAGTCCCATTCCTATTGCGTCTGTAGCAACAAGAATTTTGCAGGGGTCATCAGGATCATTGAATTTCTTTGCTTGAGCCAATTTGGTGCCTGTTCCAAAAAAGCAATCAGATAGTTAAAGCTACTCAATTCTTAAAACAGTTACACGAAAGATAATCTTTTCGCTGTTGTTTAAATTGCATCCGATGAACAGAGTTTCCAAGTCCCTCGATCTGTACATGTTTCTCAGGAGCTTGTCAATAAAGCTGTGCTTGCTCGAGTGTTTCAAAGCTTAGAACCTCTCCCGAGCTGTACGGATGGGAGTTTACACATCCAGCTATTTAGGGGTACACAATAAACCACAGCACTTCACATTTAACTATATAACAAACCAAAGTGCTGAGATACTGGGAGAGAAATCATGTCTGTTGGAATTTAACCTTACGATTGATAGAGAGCTGCCCTGGATCTTAAGGATTAGTTCACAGCACCGTGCTTGAGCACTCACACTGCTATCAGCAGTACAGAAGCCTAGCTGACTCTGTCACAGACACTCACCGGGAGGAAGACTGCCATAGATTACTGCACACTCCAGGCCCCGAGCCTCAATCTGCCTGCTGATGGAGTAGATATCGTTCTTGCTGAAGCACACGATGCAGTCCCCAGGCCGCAGGTTTTCCAGGGACTCCAAGGCGTGATCCAGCAATGTAATAGGAGTCAGCCTCTTGTAGTTTCGCACCTTCAGAATAAGCACAATATACTGTAAACCAATACCCTTCTCCGAATGGGTGCTCATGTGGATTATTTTAACGATCTGTTACAGATGTTAAGAGAATTGACCTTGTAAGGCAGCCTTGCATTTGCCTCTACAATTTTGTTCTGTTCTTCTCTGAAATAAACTTTACACTTATTCTTGAAGTGTTTTTATTCACAAATAAGGAAATGTTTTAACAATATTTCGCTACAGGCCGATCTGGCTGCTGTGCCATATAATGAAGATTTTCGAGTGTGTGCTGGACACACAACTAAGAACCATCATCAATATCTCGCCAAACCAATGCGGCTTTGTGAAAAACTGCGGAACAACAGACGCCATACAGGCAGCCCGCCTACTGAGGGAAAGGCACCACAAGAAGAGGGAAAACGATCCACATGGCATTTCTCAACCTGGAAAAGGCATTCGACAGGGTACCGCACGATCTCATCTGGCTGGCGCTGCGACAGAACCACGTCCCCGAAGCTTATGTCAGCTGGACAAAGCTCCTGTACCAAAAGGCCACTAGCTCAGTACATTGCGCAGCTGAAACCTCAGACACCTTTTAGATCAATGTTGGCGTCCACCAAGGCTCAGCCTTGTCTCCTCTGCTATTCATACTTTGCATGGATACAGTGACCAAAGATATCCAAACGAGGCATCCATGGACGATATTGTATGCTGACGATGTTATGATAGCAAGTGAAATGCGACACGGCCTCGAACAACAAGCACAGTAGTGGAAGACGCGTCTTGAACGATTCGGGATGAAATTGAACACCAAGAAGACCAAGAGTACCTGGAATCCGATGATCAAACCGATGGCACAATCGCAGCTGGTGGGGTCCAACTGAACAAAGTGACACAGTTCAAGTACCTAGGCTCATGTGTCAACTCCGACTGCACTACCCTCCAAGACACCAAGACGTGAGTCAGCGCTGCTTGGATGAAATGGCGGCAGGTCACTGGAGTACTATGCGACAAGAAGATCCCTTTGTGCCTAAAATCCAAAGTCTACCGCTCAGTGGTCAGACCAGTGGCCCTATACGGAACTGAATGCTGGCCAATGACAAAGAAACATGAACAGGCACTCAATACGATGGAAATGAATATGCTGCGATGGACCCTTGACTTGACAAGACTAGACCATGTCATGAATGAAGGGGTGCGAAAAACACTCACGTAAACAAATCAGTGCAAACAAGCAGACCCCACATAAGTGGGGAAAATGCGAAGAAGAAGAAGAAAAAGAAGGTTGAATAACTCAAATAGTGTAACTCAAGCCCGTCTCAAAGGTTGTGACTGTTTTCAAAACGCTTGAAAGCAAGATCTTCATTAGACCGGTGAACCTGAACCACGGTTCAGCTTTTAACTCACCTCTACTTCCTCTCCTGTAGTGTACATCAGCTCTGTGACAAAGTTAACAGCCGCAGCCTCACCACAAACATGGATTTCTTCAGCACACAAGCCTGTTGACACACAAAGCAAAAGAAAGTTTGCAGAGAGATTTTTAGGAGGTTCACTTAAACCTGTGTAAAGCCTGTTAAATATTAACTTCACAGCAGCAAAAACCAAATGTCAAATCTTTAAGATGACCCACGGCTTAAGATAAAAGGTGTAACGCAAGGCTTATATACATTTTTTCTTGAACCTGATCTTCAACAAAATCTGAGGAGCTACAGTACTATAAAGCTTTCAATTCAAATCTTTAGAATGAGCTTTAATGTTCTTTTTCATGCTTTTCTCAGGTTTTATTAAAAACATTTTTTACTGTTCTGAAAAAAAGATAAAAAGCCTGGCCTATACAAAGTTTAGTGAATGACAATCAGCATGAAGATCTATTGTTTGCTGTGTGAAATGTTGCAGATGCCTTTTATCTCAAGCAGTCTGAAACAAGAACTGTCATACGTCTTCACAACACAACGCAACGTCATGCAGACAACTGTATGAGCCTCCTGTGTGGAGATGGTGGCTGACCTAGCAGAGCTCTAGTCCAGGCCCATCCTCTCGATGGATCCCTGATCATCTGGATTTCATCAATGACTGCAACCTCATCTGTGAGGAAAAAAAATAAATTTATATTACTGTTAAGCAATACACCCTGTTATATAAATCTGTCTGAAGCCAAGCAGAACAGTACATTATAACACTGCAGCTCTACTGTGAATCGAAATCAATTGAAACTTTGATGGCGTTACAACCTGAGATTTACTTTCAAGAATATACTGATACCGTATGCATTAATCTTAGATAAAATAGTTACTTAAAGCCATCTGACTAACATTTAAAAAAGTACCTAAAGTACTAAAAAATTGAGTTTTTCAAGTCATGTACAGGAGTTTAAGCCCTGCAGTAGTCTTGATGACATTTAAATCATTCATCCATCCATTTTCTCACCGCTTCATTCAATACAGGGTTTAGGGGAACCACAGCCTATCCCAGTAAGCAATGGGCGCTAAGGAAATAATTCAATCAGGTGTTTGTTATCAAGAGATATTGTATGTCAGTCTTTTCCCCTCTTATTCAGTCCTCGGGAAACTGACAGTCTGGTCACAGCCAAAGGGCTGTAACTATCATGGCTTGGATTACCGGGAAACGTACAGGACTGTAAGGACACTAACGAACGCCGACAGCGGCTGCTACTCGTAATAAGACAGTCTGGAAGAAAAGGAGAACAGAACTGACACGGCATGTTGACGCTGCACATTTCAATGGTGCAGGCGACGTGGCCCGACTGCCTGCCCTCCGGGTCCATGAAGGTCCTCTCTTCTCCCGTCACCAAGTCACACGGCACACCCTGGAGCACAGAACACGGGCGTAAAGAGCGGCACAGCCTGCCCCCGGCGGGAACCGTCTTCCGCTGCGAGCGACCAAGGGGCTCTTTCATAGGAAGCCACGCCGGCGAGTCCCACTGACCGCACTGTTGCTCTTCTCGAAGATCTCGTGAGCCAGCAGCTTCAGTGGCCCACAGTAGACGCCAGACTTGGCTTCCAGGTATCGCTGGATGGCATGATGGGTCTTCCCACTGTTGGTGGGACCCGCGTGAAAGATAATCTTCCTCTGGATGGCTCTGGCTTCTGGGTACCTACAGTGAGTGAGTGCCAGGCCACATCAGAGAGCACAGCTGTCAATTTATCCTGGCTAATCCCCGCTTAAGCCAATAATCGGCACAGTTTTCTATCAATATAACTTATCTCAAGGCCAGATGTGTATAGTACCCAGTGTCTAGGGTGGTAATTTAGTTTCAGAGAAATATAAGAGATAATGAGTTTTGATGCTCAGTACAATTGCTACAAATGAACAAAGTGATCTTTGGAAAAACTAGCTTTTGCTGCTCTGGCAACTTGAACTTTCGTGATAAAGGTAACATTGTTATGCTAACTAACAATGTGAGATTCAGCACCAGTGCTTACGGGTCTCTGAACCCCAGATGTCATGTCTTCCCAACTCATCCCATAAACAGGATCAAGTCTGGCAAGCAGTGCATCCTTGGCATAACTGTCCCATTTCTCGTCTCGTCAGAAAGGCATAAGGCCAACAACATGAGACCGTGTGTTTCTTGCCAGAATTATGTCAGATCAGGGGGAGCCCTGCAGGAAGGGCAGCAAGAGAGGACTTGATCAAAGCAGCACACATCAAAGCAGACCGTTTGACTTTAACAGTCTGCCAGGTTAGGAACTCCTGGCTGTGAACTCAGTGCATATCTGCTCACTGCTCTTTCTAAGCAGACCATATTGGTGTCTTTGCATTTTTCTTTATTTTCACCACATCGGACATTTCTAAGGTTAAATTACCTCATCACCTGCGCTCAATCAGCTGTCTCCCTAATGAACTGATCAGTGCTAAAGGAACAGTCACAGTCACTCGAGAGTATCATGGTGAGTCATGAACGATCATTTAAACTGCATCCAAAATCTGTATACTTTATTTTTCTACGAAGATATGTGCATAAATAATGTGTTAAGTTAATCCTGATGCCCAGCATATAAACAGGCTAACCAAAAATGTACATTTTGCACCTATTACAATGTTCTGAAGCTGTTAACCTTTTTAGTAAGTAGGCGAAGCAAACAGCTAGCCATGGTGCTTCAGCATGCATTTTTAAGACTTTGAGCAACTTGTTAGTTTGCTTCATTTAAGCCACATGACTACCAGCCTTCTGTTGTGCTTCCACAGGAAGTGATAAAACTTGTCAAATATTTTGTGAAATCACAAGTAGATTAATTTCAATCTGAAGTGATAGTGTAATGGCATGGATTTTTACTACTGGCAAAGTGCAAATTACTATACCTACCATTTCGCTGGCACTCGTAAATCACTGATCTTTCGCAGGTCATCCATGCAGTCAAGCATGGGAAAGATTTGTTTGGCGTGTCTCATGAAGTAGGGGTAAAGATCATCTGTGTGTCCTGTTGAAAGATACAGTACATAAAACTGATATTTCATAAGTATACCTCTTGTTTTGACTGTATTCTTTAATAAGACAAATGTAGCAGGACAAGTCTCCACTCACATTCAAAAGCGGCAGACACAAGCTTTGAACAAATTTAAGTGACGTCACATTTCACAAATTCCACAAGTCTTCAATGATAACCCATTCTTAAGTCTTTGGGACTTAATTAAAATGGTATGCAAGTCTCAACTCAATAAGCAGCCTGGGTACCCTACAAAATCCTCCAACACTGTAGCATCCCAGGACCAAAAGTGAGGATCAAGAAATCATGGCCAAGAAATGATGGGTGTTCACTTCTGGTGCTGGTGACTGGGATTTTAACTAAGTGCTACAAACAAAAAACCTCCACAGATATGCCCCCCTCTTCAAATCGTGACCCATGACTCATTTGTTAAGTTTTGAAAAGAAGCCCATAAACTCACCTGCACCGCAGCAAATGTCATTCAGAACGATGTGCAAATCAGCACCTATCGCTCCCGACTCCATCACAAACTTCCTGAAGCTGATGAAGGCTTGATGGAAGAGTCGAGCTGCCAGGCAGAAGGAACAGTTCACTCTACAGGCCTTTCTTCCACAGTTATATATCCCGCCATGATGGATTTTTAGAGATCACTGATCAATACCAAAGACAACTTCTGAAGATCCAAGCTATCAGCACATCTCTATAAACACCTTTACCAAGAACAGTAAGACACCATTCCTCTGAGGTCTCCTACAGGCTCTATTTCAGTGAGAGAACGAAAGGTGTCCATCTATTTGTACCGAGCAAAGCCAATAAAGAAAGGTTTTTTCAATCCACACCTACAGCTGAAAGCTGTTGTCCTGTGGTACAGTAAGACAATTCAGAGGACTTATGAGAAAATTTGTGTTGAGGCCATGACAGCTTGTGTAATACTGTATACTGTTTATCCTAATATTCCACCATTACCCATCTTAATGTAAGCAAAAATGTTGTCCTTAATCATACTCAGTAAAACGTAACTTTAAACAAAAAGCTTTTAATGCATTTCCTTGGAGTGCATTTTAATTTTACATTTCAATTAAGAAGTTGAGTCAAAAACTTGTGTAATATTAGGCATTTTAAACTTAAGATGTTTCAGACACAGAACTGTAGCTACAAACATTTGTAGACAGCATTTTCTAGAGATACTGTGGAAGAAAGTGTTGTCAATTTCACTTACCCCTGCAAAGTTTTTTTAAAGTAGATTGTTCATCTGTTTTTACATTTAAAAGCTTAATGCCTCCATGCTATCCAACCAGTTTTCTCCTGTACATTTACGAACCACTTCGCTAAATTGAAAAGGCAAATCTTAAGTTTGTCCAGACCTGTGATTACAGATCACATCGCCAGTATCACCACTTAGCCCAGCCAGTGTGACCAGTAGCGGAAACAGGGTTCAGCAATGCACATTTCAAAGTGGGCCAACAAATAGCCTTACTGTTACTACAGGAGAGGCCGTGCTTTCAGCAATTCTCCCATTACACTGAGGAGGAATCCCTACCTTTCTGTATAACAAAGTTGCCATTCGACATGTGCTACCTGCCAGTGAGTTTGTTGTGTGCCCATTTGTCTCCAAGTCATCCCACGTGTTTAAACAACAAACAGAAATGAGCTGCAAGGAGTATGATTTAGCAAAACAAGCAGCACACCAGCAAAACAGCATACCTGAGACCCGATGCTGCTTTAACAGATAAGTTTATAAGAAAAAAGGGTATTATGCTCACCATCCAAACCATTTTCTGCTGCCAATCTCTGTATCTCCTTCCTTTTGTAGAATTTGTTTAACACTTTTAGTGCTTCACCTGTCAAAAAAGAAGATTAATTCAGCTGCATAGATCCTAATAATATTGCTACAGACAAAAACAAAATGAATCCTACAAAAACGTTTTCCTATATGTTTACATGTAGTCATATGAAAATAGCAGTACCAATCCAGAAGAGTATAAACTATAAACGCAAATTATTTCTGAATTACAATGGAGTTTTTCAGGACAGAGTCACAGTAGACATCTGGGTTTAAAACCCAGGTCATTACCTGTAGCAGGTGGTACATTACCACCATAGGAAAACGTTTCATATAGTAACCACCCGTACATATCTACGTCTCAGTCCAGTGCAGAGCTACTGGATACGAATATAGCTGTAATATACTTGGCAGTGGTGGTGGCATCTGTTAAAAAAAAAAAACTTTACAAAGACAACAAAAAATAAAACGATGCGAGAAGATCTTACTTTTATCAAGGGGCCGGCTGAGCTCGGTTCCTACAGACCCGTCTTCATTGTAATCGCTTTTGATGTTCAAAGGGACAAACAGAGATGTATCAGGGGGTCTGGCCGGGCTACTAGAAGAGGCGCTTCTGCACTGCACGAAGCCGAGAGGCTCGGGCTCTCGAACACAGCGAAGCGGTACATGGTACAAACTATAACCGCGATCAAGCGCACCAGCAGCGGTACGGAAAGAGACTGTTCGGAATGAAACCCGTGACAGCAAACACATACTGTGTTTCAGAGACATCCTCAAGATAAAAACGTTCGAAGAACAATAACGTGTTTTAGCTCGTCAATCCATCATTATAAGTGATCTAAATAAACAGTGATTCCGTTTACAAAAACTCTTGTTAAACCCAAGCAAAGGACGATCAACATTGTCACTGACAACGTGGAACAGGACCCCTGCATTTCATAGCTGTTTCAAACTTTGCCTGATCACATTCTGCAACTAACAGGCGGATATGTGCGTTGATTTATTAAGTCTAATTAGAATCGTAATTATATTATATTTTTAAAAAGCTATTTATGCCACCCGCATTACTTGCTTGACATTAATCGTGAAAACTGCATGATAGAAAGTTTCTGTTTCATGAGACTTTCCTTTTTGACAGAGGAAAATTAGGACCCTTAGTAAGGTCAAAGTGCATGTCTGCCCTAACACGTGAGTTATTTGGCTAGGGAGCTAGTGTTGTCAATATCCGTGGTTATGTTCATGCATTTCTTGAAACGTTTAAATGGATTAGTAACTGGTATAAATCCTGTCCAGTTTCTGAATTTCAGAACTCCTCTTAATTAAGGTATTAGCTGAAAAGCAGTTTAAATTTCATGTTTGAGTGCTTGATACTGTCTTTCCCACTCGTGGCTATTGATCCTTTACTAATAATCAAATAAATCCTTAAATTTAAAAAGCGCTTTAAAGTTAATGGGTACACCCCTTCACCAGCAATGATGCGACTGTAGGCAAAGTGTGCCAGTACTCATCAGCTGTCAGTGGGGAGGAGAACAGAGTAACGTAGCCAATTCATAGATTGGGATTATTAGAAGGCTATGACTTGGCCAGGACCACACAGAGACGCATGACCTCAGTTTTACTCATCTGAAGAACGGTGGTTTTTTACAGGATAGTGTCACTATACTGGGGCATTTGGAAACACAAAGGCCTCAAAGTGATCTTTTGAACATCTATTCAAGCAGCAACCTTAGCTTTCCCAGGAGGTCTCCTATCCAGGTACTGACCAGCCTCACACCTGCTTAGCTTCAGGGGGCTGCCAGTTGTGAGTTGAAGGATGATATACAGTTTAATGCAAAAGTTTGGGCACCCCTGGCCAAACTATATGTTTTGTTGATTTTCTAAGTGAAAAAAAGTTAACACAACCTCTGCAGCGAACAAACTTAAACTTGATATATTTCTGCAAATATTAATGCACAGTTACTATTTATTTGCTAAATTTAACAGACTTGAAAAGGGTCTGATTCTTAATAAGCAAGAGATTGCATAAAGTTCTGCATGAAGAAGTTGTTGGGGCTACAGTATTTTTTAAACCAGGGATAGATGGTAGAAACAAGTAAACAAAGTCTAAAAAAGCATCTTTATCAAATAAAGGCATCAGTTAGCATCATTGATAAACAGTTGAAACAAACGCCAGTTTTGGGAACTACTGCTTTATATAGCTAATCTTGAATAATGCATAGATACTAAGCTTGAATGAACAGAGAAGTCTACAATCATGAACAGTAGTATGCCATTTCTCTCAAATAAGGATGTAATTGTAATTTTCACAAATGTTGTTTTAGAATTTAAATTCTATCAGCTAGTTGCTAGTAACACCGTTGAGATTTAGAAATTGCTTTAATAGATATATAATTTAAAATTTGATTTTTAATGATTTAGCAAATAGCACTGACTTGTCATTCCATTCTGCTCGATTTATGATTCCTGTTATACCCAATGGGGTTGAAGTATGAAATGCAGCAAGGGTACACAAACAGGAAACCTTATACTCATCCCCAGTTAAATTTCAGAATCATCTATTCAAGGAATAATTATTTTAGGAACAAGTAATAGGTTTATTCCATGCTGAAAAAAAGAAGAAAGAGAACACAACGTTTCGGCCGTGGAGCCTTCTTCAGGTGTGAGAGAGACAGGGCAGTAGGCAAAGGTAAAGTAGCGGGAGAACAAAGGTTGAGAGGGAGGAGGAGTGAAAGGCAGGAGCAGGGGACAGAAAGAGAGGCCAATCAAGAGGTGTGAAGTCAGAATGGGTGGAGAGAGGTGTGAAATGAAACTTCCAATGAATGGAGAAAATTTAAAAGAACAGAAGTCTGTCGTTAAGGGAAGGGAGAATGTGTGATCCTAGCTGCAGAATAATTTTAGTTTCGGTGGTCTTTCTGATGTATGAGCTCGGAAAACCGTCTTTGAGAACACAGACGGAGAGATTAGAGTGGTCGTGGCCGTCAGAGGTGAAATGAGAAACAATGGGCTTGGAGAGATCTTTAATCTTCACAGCCCTGACGTGTTCTCTGAAGCGGTCTCCGAGTCTCCTTAATTATTTTAGTGCCATTGAAGGCTCAGGATTTGACAATAATGAAGAACTACTACTTCTACACTTTACCTTAAAGAACTTTTTGCTAATTAATAAACCGTTTGAGACCCCACTGACCACATTTCCCCTAGGTATACCCTTTTCCACTGAGAAAATACACTACAAAATAGTCCAAACCCTACACAGAGAATAATCAGAAAACTAGTTTTTAATTTAGAAATCATACATGTTGTGGAACCAATTTCAAGGAGCCTCAACTGAAAATAACATTTAAAATACAACTATTTCTGGATTTTTATCACGAACATTTTCTTCCGATTGCAGATCTACTTTATTTTAATAGAATCATCAAAATACATTCTGAAAAAAACATAAGTACTATTTACTGCAGATACTGTACACATTTTAATGTAATTTCTCAATGTAACCAAACGTTAGGACACCAGGCTGTGGTTAGAATACCAGCAGACATTTTTAACTTTTATTTTACATGAAATAGAATAACTGGAGGCTGTATAGTACAATCTTTAATGCTCACAAATTTCACCGTTTTAAATTGGACATTGTAAAAGGTGTGAGAACATGCAAATGGCGAAGACAATATTTGGCATAAATTTTTAGTTTCTTACAGGCACTTACAACAAAAAGGGATATAAATTGCCTGTGCATGGTCATCAGCAACTGGTCTGTACACTGAAGTGTGAAGTGAATGCAGCACAGTCATTCTAAACTCTTATAACCGTGCATTTACCTTTCTGAAAATCGCCACTATTTCCGCACGCGTAAAAAAACTAAAGCAGGTGTATTGTGTATTTAATGGATTTTTGAAATTAAAAAGCAGTCCATGTGATGTTTGAGTTAAACCAGCGAGATGAGACTGGCAACAGTAAAAGCAGATTTTAATACACAGTTTCATCTGGAGGACCCCAAAAAGACTTCAGCCAAATTTAGATTCCTACTATCCTCTTGTAACAGCACTGTTTTCAACATTAATTCTTCAGCTTTGGGGCAAAAAAATAAGTAAAATATGCCTCACTGTATAGAACAAAGTCTTAGGAAAGAATGGTATAAACTGTAAAATAAACACTACATAACTTAGGAGACAGTCTCCAATATAAATCTTTTACACCTTACAGTGAATTAAGAATATGGCACGCAGGGATCTCATATGTCTTTCCCCTTAGCGTGATTCTAAAGGCAAATCCTGAAACCCACATCTAACAAAATGCAAAATATTATTTCTGTTCATATAATCTTATAAATTAACCACCTACATGCATGGGAACGCTCTTCGAAATAAGTATAAACTTGTTTTATTCTTGTTTTAAAGTTTTTTGCATTTGCAAGTGTAATATTTTATTTCAACGAAAGTGGGTAAAATGTGCAGTATAAAAGAAATGGTAGCTTCTGGACGTTCCAGTGTTGTTTTTTTTCTCGTTTCCTTTGTCTTGCGCAGAGACCGTAGTCGCTAGCGGAATGCTTGGTAAGCAGCAGTGTCGGATGGAAAGAAGGCAGCGAGGAGAAGTGGGGTGTTTGGCCGTTCTCTTATCCATTTTTCTTCCAGTCTGCTGCTCTGCCAAAAGTAGAAACCACCAAGTTCGCTTTTCCTTCCACCATGCTTTTCACATCTCGGGCTTCTCTGCAGAAACCGTTGTCCTCTGCTCGGGGGACTCGTAGCGCTGGTGAAAGTTGCGTTTCCTCAGTTTCTCCGGAGCCTTCCTCCACAGAACAATCTCCTGCAGAGAAATCAGGCATGCATGGGCAAGAGTTGGGCAACAGAAAGCAATCACCTGGTACACATGCTTCACTCACTTATTCTATAGCTTTATTGCCAGCAGCTACATCACCCTGCAACTCACACCTTGGTCAGTACCTGGATGGGAGACTCCTAGGAAAGCTAAGGTTGCTGCTGGAAGAGGTGTTAGTGGGGCCAGGAGGGGGCGCTTACTTGTCTGTGTGGGTCCTAATGCCCCAGTATAGTGATGGGGACACTATACTGTAAAAAGGTGCCGTCTTTTGGATGAGATGTAAAACCAAGGTCCTAACTCTCTGTGGTCTTTAAGTCCCAGGGCATTTCATGAAAAGCATAGGCGTGTTACCTCGGCAACCTGCCCAAACATCCCCCTGGCCTTTATCAGTTATGGCCCCCTAATAATCCCCATCTCTGAATCGGCTTCATCACTCTGTTCTCCTCCCCACTGATAGCTGGTGGGTGGTAAGTGCACTGGCGCACTGTCTGCCATCACATCATCCAGGTGAAGCTACACATTGGTAGTGGTGGATCATTGGTTTTGTACAATGAAAAGATCAAGATGTTGTCTGTATCCATCTCAAGAACTGCTCTACCTGCTGCTTGAAGTATCGCCTGTCCTCTTCGTCCACCAGCACCAGGTTGAGGAAGTACCGAACCGAGAACTTCTTGTTTACATCCCTCATCGTGGGAGTAAGGTCATAGCCAGCCAGGAAGAGCCTGATGGGGATGGACTCCCCTTGACAAAGAATAAACATTAGTTAACAGGGCAGAAGCAGAGCTTAACGAGGCTAAACAGTGAGTAATCTGGGTAAAAAAATAATGGAAACGCCCAAGAGGTGTGTCTATATTGACACCTACTGGAGACAAACTGGAACACAGTGAATGAACCTCGCAGTGAGATTACTGCCCTGCAAGGTTTCTACACCAATTAGAAAATCTCACAAAACAGATGCTGTTCACAGGCTCTATCAAACAAAAATTACTATACTTTGTTCATATTTTTTTCAAGTAGAAACTGCAATGTTGAAGTAGACAAGACTGAATAAGGAAATTATTTTTATGCTTTTAATTAAGGAGCTGCGTTTCCTCTCTCATTACCTTTAACTGGAGCCCCATCCATGATCTCGTACTTCGCAATTGTCTCTGTCTCTGTAGTTGTACTAGGTCCTGTGGGCAAGGAATTTTTATTAAGCATATATATTTCAGCCTAAAAGGCTACTAAAATAGTTTAGAAAACCTCATTAACTGATTCCTGAATGAGGAAAGGAACCGATTTCAACTCATGGTTTTAAGAAGAATCCTCTCTACAAAGCAAGCAATCACATCCATTTAAGGCGGCTTTTGTCTGAATCGCCACCTCATCCTAATCAGCATTCTTTGACTTCCTTCCTGAGCACTAAATACCAGTTATCGGATCATTTATCTGCACCGACAGCATTACACTGCATTTCAAATCTTCCCATCGCAAATATTTTGATGACTTGCCTGGAGTCCTTCAGGAAGCTGCTTGATGAAACTCCTGGATGTGTACAATAATAGCAATTCAACAAGAACAACAGCCTGAAATAACACTTCTCTGTGACTTTCTTTTTTCAGCACTCTCAACAATCTCTCACCTATCCCAGTGATCTCCTTTTTGATCAGCTGTAGCTCCATGTGCTGGATTTTGATTCTCACTAACAGGAAGTAGATTTTCCCCACAATGACATCCTTCAAGTGGTACCTTAACCAAGAGAGGACTAGTTTAGACTAAAAGTACAACTTACAGAACTCATCACTCATGCAGTTAAGGAAGAAGTAAAGGTTTATTCCATGCTGAAAAGAGAACAAAAACGTTCTTCTTCAGCCTATGCATGCTGACGCAGTTACCTACTTGGACTACTCATGCACTTATTCATGAATGACAGTTACTCATGAGTTCTCCAAGTTAAACCATCGGATTTGTCCTGGGTTCAAAGAAACAAGATTTTTGTTTACTGTCTACAAGGGTAAGTAACAACAAATCTTAACTAATTCAGCGTCATATTTCCCAGGCATCCTCACAAGTGGCTTTTACTCACTAAAAATTCAGTTCTTAAGATGAATCTTGAACCTAATTTCATTCTATAATTCTGCACAGCAACCATACTATGTGCCTGCTAACCATAACCGCATTCGGGTTTGAGCCGGTCCTCTGATCGCATCTCAAAGTGGAAATCACATCAAACAGCGGTAAATGTGGCATTTCAGGAAAATTCTACAACAAAGCTTGGCAGGCCTTTAAAAAACAGATGTTTGTTAAAGAGTAATAAATCAAAATGTGCTCAAAACTTAAAATGTGACGACTCTTTCCAAGATCTCACTGTGATATTTTGAAGCAGGACTTTCAGGAAAATCGCGATGTACCATTTTAGAACTGAGTGAGGGTTCTACTTACTTTGACTTGTTATATTCAAACTCTATATGGAGACAGTCCTCAATTCCCACTTCCATCTTGATGGAGTTGTTGACGTCAGGATACGTGGCGAGCTGGTGAACAATGAGGTCATACTCCTTCACCAGGTCTGACAGTCTTCTCACAATCGTCACTTTAAGGAAATACCTTAAAAAAAGTAAATGAACTGAGTGGTAATGTTTTGCATGATTGACAACCCCAATTACATCATGGTGCTAAACATGCAAATGCTGCATTCAGCATGTTGCTTCTACTGCATTGCTTATAGCCACAAAAACAAAATGTCTGAAATGAACATAAAAGTGATGTTTGAAAGCAGAGTGACTCTCTGTAAATTTAAAAACATTCCTCTGGCACCAAGCCTTTGCTTCGTTACAAATCCTTCAGAACCGAGTTCAGAATGGGAAACAGGCTCTGCTCAACAGTAAGGCAGTAGAACAATACAGAGGGTGGAGTACAAGTGAAAATTACTTTTGATCTTTACTATTCACCCTCAGACTCTGACAGCTTTACCTCAGCCTGACGTTGGCTCCCATGTAGGACTCGTATGGCTTCTCCACCTGCATGAACTCAAAGTCGTAGCTCCTGTTCTGCGTCAGCTCCCCGGGCAGAGCCAGCTCCTTTACCAGGTTCACAAACTCATGGGTGTTGCTTTTGTCGCTGAACAGCTCTGTGCAGCAAGAGAAAAGCAGGGCCCAGATGTAACACAAGGTTTTACCCAAGAGGCCCAGCTACTTTTCCTTTATTAGAGGAAACTCCAGAACTGAGTCATTCTGCTAACAAAAATGACTGACCAAGTGTGGTAAATACCAAAATATAGTGGAGATGCCTCACATCAATAATACCCTTTATTCAGTGCCATATCCTCACTGCACTCACAGCCCACTCAACTGCAAGAACTTGCGGCGCTAAAACATTGCTGTGGAAGCTCCATGGATAATGAACTGTTGTACTCTTCACATGACAGGCACATGCTTTGCTGAGCTCTTAACTCCACTCGGCTAGAAAAATACAAAAAACATAGAACTGGTGCTTGTCTAGAAAGGAAAATTACAGAAATTAAATGCCCCATACATTCTAAAAAACATACAACTACATTTTCAGAGATATTCTGGATATGCGGCACACTGTCTTGAGGCCCTCCTGGAGAGTCTTTGTATAACAGACAGGATTCACAATGTTTTGACCAGAGTATGAAACTCACTGCTTCTGCATCATGTTGAATAGACTGCCAGTGTAAGCCTATCCTAGCCTGCCTTGTTTTCCTTTGCACAACAGTCATGACAGTAAAGATCAGGGAACACTTTCAGTATATTTCAAAGCTTTTTGTGCTTCACTGCCCTCTTACATTAAAAATGTGATGAAAGCACAATGACTGAATCTTCAATTGCAGTATTTCAGGAGAGTATTTTTTTAACAGGGAACAATAGCAATGCTATTTTTACATTTCAGGGTTAGAAAGAATCGTCTTTGGTGAGTGCAATTCAAACCACAGTGAAAGTAAAATGTACATATTAATGCGGAAAATCCAATCCAATAAAATAGACAAAATTTCCAAGTATGCGCAGCATATTGTGCGATTCTCCTCAGAAGGATGCAACAAAACTTACGTTGATGTGATGCAGCCCTGTTACATTGTAAACAAGCAGGCCTGAAAATACATGTCTTTTAATCCAACAGAAATATTGCTCTCGACTTTTGAGATGGTTTTGCAGACAAATTTTAGATACTGGTTAACTCTGCATGTTGATCACGTTGGGACATTTCTGTGGTGAAATATCTGTTGCACAACCAGTACTTATTCGCTTGTACATCACAGTACATTAGTCATTACAGTGACTTATGAGCAGGAAGGGCCACATCACATCACAAGTTGTGGGAATTCTTGCTCAAGATCAGTGGTTTGCAACAACATGGCGACTGTACAGTCCTTTCACAAAGTTTAGTATTTTGTCCCCAATTCTGAATTTTCAATACCGTCAATTAATTTATGTTGTTACCAAGATTTATTAACCTGTCTGAGAAATTGGGACCCTTAGTTACCCTTTAAACAAATTCATCTCACTTACTTTTATTACACAGTGTATCAGACCACTTCAGGATCTGTTTTACAGATGCTTCCTTTAGTGGTAATAAAACTGAAAATTAAAATGAATGAGGAAAAAAAATAAAACCCAGTGGCCTTATAACAGCATATCTCACTAACCACTTCGGCCAAACAAGGAATTTTATTTATCAAAGAGCTATGAAGAGAATCGTGATACACTGCCAGCAGTGAGAGATCTCCAAAAATGGTCAAGAGCACTTGAAGTAAGAGAAGAAAATTGTTTCTTGATAGGATTATAAACACTGTTGTCTAAATGCAACATGAAATTCACAAATGGACGAGGCTTTGTATGATTACATACAGTTTGAACCTTAAGGTTTAAGGTTCTTAACACATCCTGTTAAGAAACTCACCTATCTGTCCCACGAATTCAATGCGAATTCCCAGGTGCTCTAACCTCTTCCCAGACTGCTTCACAGTGAGGTTCACCTGGAAACAAGAATGGGAATTGAAGGAAAGAACACTTGAATTTCCTCTCATGATCTTGAGCTGTGTCTCCATTTTACTCAGCCCTGAGGAATCTTTGTTGTTCTTAACACTTCCTATAAAAACTAACATTAGCTACTAGTATCAAATGCACAAGAAGTTGATTTTTTAATTAGGTATACCAATCCCCAATTTTACCATTTTTATGCTAGAAAGCAGCTTATGGATCTGGATGCTTGCCACTTGGTTGTTCTAAGTCTTGACCATGTGCTGCAGGAAAGCGTCTTTAAAATGTGCAGGAATTTTGCACACCACTACAACATTAGAATAATCTACCCCGGGTAGCCCTTCTGAGACTGAATTCCAGCAATTAATGCAAAATCAATATCCATATAAAAACAACTTACCAAGGCTTTTGAAGTAGTGGAACAATTCCACCTACTCTTTCCACATTTTAGTACAACACTTAGAGCAACAAAAGCTGGGCTGGGACAACAGTACCCCTATGGGTGCAGACAGGAGAATATGCCAAACAGAGTCAGGCTAAGTCAAGTCACTTCTAATCCTTCCACCAGTTACAAAGGGCTCTGCGTACACAGCCAGAACAGGTACCAATTCTGAACTGCGGCCTTGTCTCTGGACTTCCTCATTCCAAATGAAAACAGAAGAAAAATCACAGTAAATCCTGCAACTTGAAAAGTTTGAAATGTTGCGGTGATTTCCCGCTGAAAGCCTGAGAGCTCAACAATAACAAGGAAGAGAACAATGCCGGGAACCTGTTCCAACTCATTCGAGAGGATTAATTCAATTTACAGAAAGAGGAGGAAGAGGTGGGGGACTGAAGTCAATTCCAAATGTTGTGTGCAGGAAAATATAACAATTAGGAAAACACCCACACACACTCCCTGCAGAGAATGACCTGACAGAGGCAAAGATCTTTGGGTGTTGTCTAATTTAATCCTGCAATGCACTTAGGATAGTGTAATCCTACAGATCATAAGTGTTAAACAGAAGGACACCAAGACTGTGCACAGTACTGTCCTCAAATATACAGTACATTTGTAACCCTGCATGTATGCACTGCTGGTATAAAAACAATTAGTCAACTTTTCAAGTCAAGTTCCATCAGCACACTTCTGTTACGATTCTGTTTTGAAGCAATTTAAAGAAGAGTTTACAGTCATATTCAAATCTCTTTTTCCCTGCATATTTTGTGTAAAATGTATGGCATTGAGGAAAGAGAAATTATAAACATCTTATCAGAAAGATAAGATGTTTTTATAATGCACAGTAAAGCCGCAATTAACCTGTTAGTGTGTCTGAAGTGAGCTTATCTATCCACTGCCATCAGTGGTATCTTTGCCACCACATTATTCTGATGGAAATAATCATTTCTAGCCCTCAGCATTTAAAGGGAGATATTTGTTTGCAAGGACACTTGCAATATTTTTTAAATATCCCCAGGTGCACAAAACATGTGGATTAATTAACTGTTCTATGCCAGTCTGGATTTCTTTCTAAAGAAGCTAAAACTGGTTTTCCCAATGCAGATGCACACTTTAGTAACTGAGTATCATTCCAGTATGATGAAAGTCAATGTCCGCAGTTCATAAGCATTTTTTAGTTCCAATCATTTCTTTCCTTTCCCGTACAAATGATGAGAACAATGAAATAAACTGTAAGCTCATTTTTTATACATCTGTGCTTACACAGATGTACTTAGTACATATTGATGTATTTAGTACTCATTCTCCACTACAGTACCTTTACTCTGAAATTCTGGCATATGTAAATAGAAAAGGCAAAACCTAATTGCAATAACCAAAATATAGTTGGAATCAAGCAGTAAAACTTAGAAATGTGTTAATTTTGAACTGGGACTATAATGCATTTCTCACTTTACATTACTTCTCATGGGAAATTTGTGTCCAACCAGCACAATTTCACCTCCCATGAGACTTTTCTAAAACAAGAAATATATGTATAGTGTTCACATCTGACTGAGATCACAATATTATAATGGGAAACGACATTACATCTTTAAAATCATGGGTTTGCTGCCTGAGATTACAAACGTGTTCTGATTAATATGGCTTGAGCTACTTAAGATATTTGACTTAAATATATTAAATCTGAACACAAGGCATATGAGGATTATAACGCAATTACCACCATGGTAAAAATTATTCTGGTCTTTTAATATGCTTCTTGCACAATACGTTTTTGTAAAAAATTCAAATAGATCAATACATTTTTGGAATACATCAGTGTCATAATATTAAACAAAAGTGATTAGCCCTATACATTGTTTTAATTGACAATGAAGAGCTGATGAACTTTAATATCCCCCAATACATGTATATACTACTGCAGTCAGTTTTAATATTTTTACACCAACCTCTGCCCATCTCATCCACTAGACTTGGAGGGTCAAAAGCAAACGAGCCTACCTTTCCCGAAACCGATTCACCGTCATAGAACAGAAAGTGCTTTTCCACTTTGCCATCTTCCATCTTGATCTCCGCCGTCTTCCTCGTGTCAGCATCGTTGAGGACGACATCGATTTCACACACCGGCGCAAACAAACCCCCGAGGAAACTCTGTGACGCAACGGGACAGACAAATCAATAGGGAGAAGAAATGAGGACTGCTATTTCTGGCTACAGCACTGCAAACCCTGGAGACTATGGAATCGATGCACGCCCAGCCTGGAGCAAGACTCCTGTAGTTAGAGAAACCACCAGTGGACCCACCCTGGATTGCTTCAACCTAATGGAGACTTTCCACCATTCCAGTCACACCAGCTGCTAATTTCATTGCAGACGTCTGCTTTACCTGTTCCTAACTGACCCGAGAAACGACACATTGAGCATTTGATTGGCCTGATTACAGGCTATTTACGGAAAATCTTTTTTTTTTCCCCATTGCCCAGTGGAAATTGCTGGTTAACTGCTCCTTCGGAAGATCTGATTTGTGGAAAATAACCCTCCTCGCATGCTAATGGCTGTACTGTCGGGGACCCGAAGGTGCAGCGTGAATCTGAGAAAGTCAGAATAATAACAGCAGCGGCCCCATGCCTCCAGGGCCTGCTCAATGTTATTCACCGCTGTCTCCCAGATTCTGGGAACACACTTAGAGAAATATTCGGAAAAACGCGGCGCAACGAGAACATTCTGTAAACTGTAAAGACAAATGTGCAGAAGAACACCCAATGACCCTGTTGAAGAATACTCTTATTTGGCAACTTGCTGAAGTAGGTTATCATGGACATGTTTTTGGGGCAGTTCGAAAAAAAACGACACATTCTTGAAGCGAAAGCTGACTGATTGTGATGCTGTGCAGAAACATGCTCACAGGCCACGTGATCTACAGAGACAAATGAAAGCAAATGTGCTCACAAGTGAACAGTGACATCCCACCGTGAATCAGTTCAGAAACAATCTAATCTGACTGTTTTTTGTATAAATGATAAACTAACAATGAAAGCTCACTACCTTCCTGTAAACCAGATTCATCCGTTGAAGAGTGGAAAGTTGTGGAGTAGGGGAAAAGTGAAATCTGCCTCTCTACCCCATTTCCAGGGCAGACTTGCACAAGAGAAAGTGAACACCTGTAACCAAAACTTGTTCTATCCAGACATGTGACATCTAAATGTTGTTGCTGTGCAGATATTTTTATCAATCCAAACCAGAAAATCCTAACTTTCTGAAAAGAAACAAATCATTAATAAATTACAGTCCTTTTGGAGAAACCAAGGAAGTTCAGAAATATGTTTTTTTCTACCACCACTTTTATTTAAAAAATGGGGCAAATGTCTGTGAGCCTTGATAAATGCAGAAATTAATTTTTCCTTTTGTCATATAGTCGTACCGTTTTCATTGTTGAGCCTATTTGAGCCATTTGTAATCCAGGAGCACAGACAGAACTACCCTTATGGAAAATCTGTGAACACAGCTCTTCTATAAAATACCTTACAAACCAGTTTACATTATCGGGTAACCTTTGTAAACACTTTTCAACAGTGAAAACAGAAGACTCGTATGTACAAGGTTATACAGCAGATCATTTTACTCAAGCAGATCTGAATGAATTTGAAAGGTACATCAACAGAGATCTGAACCTATAGCCTTTCCAATCCGGAGCCCTCACCACCACTCCCTAACCTATGCCTAATGATAAGCGAAAAGCGTTTGCTTATTCCAGTTCTCTTCTAGAAACACTTTCACTTAAATATATATTTCGATTAAAAGCGTGTACTGTCTACTACGGCACCAACAGCTTTTCATGACATTACGTTGAATTATTTCACTTTTTTTTCAGTAAGAAGACAAAGCCTGGATATTTAGTGTTACGCTCTATATGGGCACTGTCGGGTGTTTTCCTTACACGAGTGCAACTGTAACGCGCTATTGTGAGATAAAGTTTATTTTCAATGTGCCACGTTATTGGAACGACTCATATAAAAAACTAACACTAACATTAACACAAACCACAAGGACACCTTTATTGTCCGCGAATGAAGTGGAAAAAGCCAGCCTGGGTCAAAGAATAATTACAGAACACTATCAGAAGACAGAAAACGTAACTTATAGTTTCACAGAAACAAAAAAAAAACACCTTAGTATTGACTTGGCAGTAAACACGAACACAGTACACGAGGCACGGAAGAGTGGAAAAATATTTGATAAAGAGTCGAGACAAGATACAACAGCATGCGCTTTGTATTTTGAAGCATAAACCAAACCTACATTACGCTTGCACGTGTCTCAAAAAATGTAAAAAAGCTGGTTATTAAGTGAACCTGTACATTGAACGAGTTGACTGCAATTCACTCGACCTACAGAATCCGACAAGCTGTCCAACTTGGGACAGCAAAAGGGGGCGACTGGTGAAGAAAGTAAACAGGCAAATAAAAATCACCAGGCAGACCGTTTCAGACCCAGAGGTAAAGAAAACACAACCCGTGATGCTTAGGCGTTTCTTTTTTCCATTCTAACAAGATACGAAAGAAATAAGGATCCCGGAGACAGCGGCGCTGGCAATTAATCGAGACGTGTTTCTGACAGCGCCGCCGCAACACAGGCCTCCCGAGCTCCGTCCCTCCTACTAATCCAGCCCCAGGACTCCCCCGGGCCTCCTGCACTTTCTCCCACACTGTGCGGTCAAAACGAGATCGCTGCTACTACAAAAGCTGGGGGAAAAAACTAAGGACATGTTATGACTTAAATCGGTGCACGGTGTTTTCCACGCCGGTACCATTATATTGCACTTCGCAATCCATTCGGTTTCACTCAAACTCACCATTTCAGCCCGTTTCCACACAGTGTATTTCTCTAACTCTGATCCCTAAGAAATCCTCCCTAAACTCCTGCTCTCCTCGGTCATGTGACCCCCCTGTAGCAGAACTCGGTGTCCTGAGTCATATGACCTCCTTCCAGAGCTCTCGCTGCTGCAATTGGCAATTTCTGTGTGAACAAGATGCAAGCGTCCGCGTTCGATAGTGCAAAACTAACGTAACGAAATAAACCAAAAACAGTAGCGAAGAAACTGATTTTTTTATCCACGCTAGTGGACGTCTTCAGCTTTGTTTTTAAGAAAATGTAAATCTTGAAACCAGCTAACACTGCATGGACGCTTTGGAGACATACTTTTAACTTCACTCCGTACAAAAATTTCGCTCTGTATGCGACTAACTAATCTCTAATGTACATTAGCATTCTATCAAATAAAATAAAATAAAATAAAAGTTTATTTATCAAATGCACAACAATACAGCATGCAGCAGTAGTATGCTTGCAATTTATTTTTTTTCTACGAAGAAGGTTACATAATAATACATAATAGTACTATAGAAATTGAATAAGATAAACTCAGACAAAACTCAATATGAATAGAGCTGGTATGTGTCCATGGTGTATGCAATACCCTGGAGAACGGTCCTTGAGAATGGACCTGGCTTTCTTAAGACATCTAGCTGAGTAGATATCCTGGATGTTTGGAAGCTCACAGCTGGTAATAAACTGCGTTGACTTCATCACCCTCTGCAGTACTTTGCGATCCTGGGCAGAGCAGTTCCCATACCAGGCAGTGATGCAACCAGTCAGGATGCTCTCAGTAGTGCACCTGTGGAAGTTGGCCTGGATATGTGATGGCATGCCGAACTTCTTTAGCCTGCGGAGAAAGAATAGGCGCTGCCGTGAGGTTTTGACCACGATGTTGGTGTGGTGGGTCCAGCTTATGTCCTCCATGATGTTAACTCCCAGGAACTTAAAACTGCTGACCCTCTCCACTGCAGTCCCATTGATGTGAATAGGTGTGTGGTCTCCACCCTGATGTTTCCTATAGTCCACAATCATCTCATTAGTCTTACTGATGTTCAGAGAGAGGTTGTTCTCCTGGCACCATGCTGCCAGGGTTTCAACCTCCTCCCTGTACGCAGACTCTTCACCATCTGTGATCAGGCCGATGGCTGTTGTATCGTCCGCAAACTTAATGATGGAGTTTGAGTCATGCCTGGCGACACAATCATGGGTGAATAAGGAGTAGAGAACAGGGCTAAGCACACAGCCTTGGGGGGCTCCAGTGTTTAGAGTCAGGGTAGAGGACATGTTGGTGCCCACTCTCACCACCTGCGGACGTTCCGTCAAGAAGTCCAGGATCCAATTACAGAGGGAAGTGTTCAGTCCCAGGTCCTGGAGCTTGATGACAAGCTTTGAGGGCACTATGGTATTGAATGCTGAGCTGTAATCAACAAACAGCTTTCTCACATATGTTCCTTTCTTATCCAGGTGTGAGAGGGCAGTAAGGAGGGCAGTGGCAATAGCATCTTCTGTTGACCTGTTCTGGCGATACACAAATTACAGTGGGTCTAGGGTGTCAAGCATTGAGGAGGTGATGTATACTTTGACCAATTGCTCAAAGCACTTCATAACTGATGTGAGTGCAAAGGGGCGGTAGTCATTCAGCCAGCTGACTCTGAGTTTCTTAGGAGCGGTAGTCATTCAGGCTGCTGACTCTGGGTTTCTTAGGATTTCTTCCATGGAGCTGAATATAAATAGGACTGGCTTAATCGGTTATATTTTTCAGTTTTGCAACTGATTATTTATTGAAACTTTATAAGGTGTTTAACCTGTCTTAAAAATTAGCTGAACAAAAAATACCTGTAGTGTGGGGTGTAAGTGTTATTATAATGAATGCGGCTGGTGTTGCGTGTAAAAGGAGATCCCGCATTGATCGCTAGTTATCAAAACACAAACCTACTTATTAACTTTCATCAATTATAAAATAATATAAAATATGATGATGTATCCTCTATTATCACGGTTGTTATTACATTTTCTCTTATTACCATTGTTACTAATAATCCAGATAATGTTAAAATGAAGTCTTTACCACGACATACAGTATACGTAAATCACTGAAGAACTTATTTTAACTTCCTGAAAATATCTTTAAACACTAGATGGGGCTCTTATTCTTCGTGTTTTTTGTGTCACAAAAGCTGGAGTAGAGCAGTCTGACTTGTATCGCGAAGCAATGGCGTTGTTTGACAAGACCTTATTCTTTATTTTTTCTTTTGTAAAAATAAAAATAGTTTGTATTAAAAGAAAATATTCTACTATTCCACTTTCAAGTATAAGAAAAGCGTATAATTATGGTGTTATAAAACTGTAAACAATACCATGTTAATTGTCTACAATGTCTACAACACAATTGGTTATTTTGTCTTTATAAAGTAGCGCTAAACTGTTATTTATATGTGAAAGACTTTTCATTCTACAAATATACTACCACTCTGTTACTAAAAGACTTTATTTATTAAACTCGCCTTCATGATTTAAAAAATACAGACAGAACTTAACTTATTAACCCTAATCAACATGTTTTTTAGGGCTTTGGGCTTTGCTCCGAGTGAGCTCAGACCTCAGCAGTGTGTCAATCATACGTTTTTAGAGTGTAATGATAATTTTAGGCTAAGCATGAACTATGTAATCGTACTCTTTAGGCTGACTGCAAACAATTGCTACAGCTATAAATTAGTGATCTTACCCAAGAAATTAATCTCGAAGTTCTTGACTTACACGGAGTAGGTCGACAAATAAAAAGGAATATAAGGATTGTTTTTTTCAAATAGAGGCAGAAATGTTACGTGTAGAACTAAAAGCATCTGATGTCATTATTTTAAAAATACGAAGACATACATAAGACTGCCAATAAAAGAATCAGTAACAGAATGCAGCATGCTTCTGCAACGCGTTTATTTATTCCGTAGGTGTTTTTCACTCTTTGGCAGAGAACGCTTAAGAATTGGGTCGGAGTGTAAAGAGCTCAGCCAATTGTGCGCCACCTCTAGGTGAACCCCTCACCTCACGGCCCAGGCGTGTTTACGCTCGCAGCTTCTCTCTGTTACATTTTATTATATGTGCTGGAGTTTGTATCCCTCTTTAACAGTTGCACTACTTTCACTGTTTCACTGCATGCTGCCTGTACTGTATGTGCCCACGCACTATCGGTATTGTATTGTCCTTTATGTGATGTGAACTATGCACCCGCACCAGGTGACTTTATCTGTATTATCTGTATCTTACTGTAGTAAGTTTGTGATTTCCATTATTTTGTTATGTTTATCCACCTATTGTATTGATTATATGGCCTGTATAGTCTGCTAAGTAAACATTAACCATCTCCTGCTAGGAGACCTTGAAGAAGAGTATTGGTAGTCATGGATCAGTTTGCAACATACTGTAGGTTTCTGAGCTCTTGGAACATTAATTGACCGAAGTATTATTATTAACACCAACTCAACCAAGACAGCGTTGGCTGGCGACAGAAAAATTGCAAAGTGATGAAGGAAGGAGACGAGCTGCAGAAGTTACCAACTGTATGAACATCGAAGCTCAGAGATAGAAGAGGACTTAGAATAGAGTGTTAAGTTTAGGTTTTATTTTGTTAAATGTTGTGGTTTACGCTTTCAAGTGTAACGTGGGAAATGCATCAGACGAGGCAACACATTCCAAGCTACTTGCATTGCTTCAATCTAGCCTAATAATGTGTGCTGCTTGGGTAGGGACTCTGCAGCCGTCTCGATTGCTTTCTTTATTGATCCTACGACTGTAATTGATCCAGTTGACGAAAGCCACTAGATACCCAGCAGCCCCATCCATTATGGATGCCACCACCGTGCTTCAAATAGGAGTCACAGTGCTTTCTTGTATTGCTCTCCCTTCTTTTTTGCGCTCAGTTCTCTTTAATTTGCCTCGGGAAGGAGAACAAAATAGGAAGATAATGGAGAAAAACTACCTCTCGCCCATCCCAGAGAGGAACCCCGCTAATCCGAGTGATGATGTCAAAGTCATTTAAGAGTGTCAGATGCTAGTTCCATGGACGGCACAGTCCCCATGGCACCAAGAAGGAGACAGGGCCCCACTGGCACCAGCGGAGGGAATGTGAGGGCTGCCAACGCACAGCCGCCATTTTAATGGCAGACATAATCCCAGCCATTGGCACTCATTTCTGCAGCACAGACAGAACACCGCAGGGGAGTCAGAGCTCACCAACAGCGAGGATCGAAAGGAATACTCTACTTAAAAACTGTAGATCACGTGTCACTGACCTTTTCCCCAAACAGAATCACATTCCCTGGAACATGTACTGTTTTATCTAAAGTTTATTTAGAAAAGAGGGCTTGATTCCTTCATAGCTTTATAGGTTCTCATATTGCAGGTACAAAGGCTCTAATACCATGGTATAATTTGGCTGAAAAGGATGTACATTGCAGGCATTAAGCATGAACCAGTTTCTGAAACTGATGCCTTTCACCCAGGGCTGTGGAGATGGTGTAGCGACATACAGTATACTGCACAACTGAATTTCAAAGTGCAATGACTAGAGCATTTTAATGCAATATGGAGTTGTTATAGACAGAAAGATGTTTTATATTTTTCCTTATGGTTATTTCATTTTTATAACACTAATTCCTTTTTATCTAGGAAAAATTTAATCTCCTTCAAAGAAACTCATTTGAACACATGTAACAGGAAACCTTCAATGTAGCCTGTAAACGTTTAGTCTTCAGACTGCTAGCTGTTATCTGTTTGAGTAATAAAATGCTGATACTTTAATTTCACAAACTGGGTTTTTAATCAATCATTTTTACCAGTGTTTATAAGCAAGAATGTATCTGGTATTCAGTCTTTCAGACATTAATGTAACATTAAAAAATATAATCAGGAAAATACAAATATAATTTGGTATCAATTACATAGTACTTCAGTTCCAAATAAATACTGCTGTCTATATCATTCTTTAAATAAGTGCAACAATAAAACAAGTTTAGCTGTTGCAGGACAGCATATGAAGGCATGTAAATTAACTCTTGTCCTTAATTTTGATAAGATACTGAATGTGTTTAAATGCTGACACATTTGGGTTTTGGTACATAAAGCTACATAATCTTCTGCTCACATCTGTGTCCCTAAATGAAAAAGTGTATGTATACATCTACAGTATATTGGCTTCTTTTCCCAAATATGTAAAAAAATAGAGTGCAGTATAGCCAGTAACTGTACTTCTAGCTAGAATTTCACATTCAGTCATATATCGTTATACAAATCTTTAAAAAAAATATTATACAATACAGCATATACTTTTACTGAAAATAATGTATAACAATATATTCTCAACAAATGCTGGAGTGCTTCAAATATAAACTTATGGATCTGAAAATTATGAACAATACACAGTATTTAAAATAAAACAGAACATAAAAAGGAAATAAAATCACTGTTTAAATCCTGAGAGGGATTGTACGAGCATGTATTAATATCGCACCACACGTGACATAAAAACTGGGTTACCCTCCACTGCACAGTCAGTGGCTTTACAGGAATAAGTTCTCTTCTCGTGGTTTCAAATCCTGGGGGTGGCGATGCTTTACCGGAACTCTCCGTGGGAAGATGAAATCAGAGTAATCGAGCTCCATATTCGGCGAGCTTTCCTCGTAATCGAGTGCACTTCCTTCCTCGGTTATGACCCCACTGTTTGCTTCGCCAGCGTCCATCAGCCATTGGTCCCCAGAGCCGATTTCAGTGGGGGCCGCTCCTGACCCATCGCCAGATAACTCCTCTGTGGGGAGCAGCTCCGTGCTTCAGAAAGAGGAACACAGACACACCAATAGTGATGAATGAATCATCATGAAAAGACCCATGACATGCTTTATAGCTGTACCATTATGAGTGATCAATGAACTACTGTAGGTCTGCCGCTGCCATTTACTGCAGTCCCCTTCAGTGATCCATAAGGATTGTGGATGATTTATGTGTGACACACCAGACTAAAAGAGATGTGAAGAGACTAAAGGTGAAGGAAGAAAATAGTTACTGATGCTTGCAAAAATTTGCTCCCTGTAGCAGAGATGAAAGGAGGGTGGTTATTGAGTTCAGAGGGCCTGGACAAGCAGGTGAAGTCATTTTCAACTTTCCATTTTGTTTTGGGGAAAAAGAAACACCTTTATTTCTAGAGCACGAGAAGGAAAAACTAAACAATGTGCGAGAAGAGTTAATAATTGACTGGAAAACGTGATATTGTTCTTTCCACTTGTAGTGCTGTTCCATCTCATTAACAACACTTTTATATTTGGTCCCTGAATTCAAGAGGTACCTCACATACAGTAGCACATATTAAGTTCATTTTTGCCTAAAAAACAAACATAATGTAATACTATATTCAAGATATTCAATGCAACCTTTTCCCTCTGTCCCTATTTAAGAGTCATATCGAAACCTAAAAGCAATCTGCTTTTCTTAGAGGGTGATTTCTTTAAATATTTCAGTTTTGCTGCAGTCCCCTGCGTCTTGTGTACTGGTGATCTCAGAAACCACCTAGATTTTCTCAAATAGCACAGAGTTGGTCAGTTTAGATGGTACTTCACAATAGACTTATCAAGTATATGCAATTAAAATCTTGTTTTCCAGCTTTAAAAAGAAAATGTTTTTTTTAATTCATGTTTTTTTTTACAGGACTTTTATCCACAATAGAGGGTTAGGGTTCAAATAGACTGTCCTGGGGGGACTAAAGTGTACTTTCAGTCAATTCTTTCACACAAATGTGCCAGCTTAATATTAGTTTGAGTCCTCTGAACAAGGGCTCTCTCCCCTAACAGATATATGCCAGAGTTTGATCTATTCAATCTAAACTTGATCGAATCCTTTAATCATAGAGTAACTTACAAACCCAGACAATACTGGACAGCAGATTTCCACTGGAACATTACAAAGCCACTGACACCGATTCTGCAAGTGCAGCTACAGTACATGTACACAGTCCCTTTCTAAAAGACCTGTAAAAATGAGAAAGCTGTACTGCAAGATCCTTGGATAAAGGCCTCTCTCTGTTCCATAAAGAGACTGTGTGCTACATCTAGCCACTTGACACATATAGTACAGTATGCGTGTCCGCTTACAGAATGTTTACATCGTTGTATTCAAAGAGGAACTATTTGTTAAAGCACCTATATCCCCCCCGGTGCATCTGTTTACTACTGCTTCTAAATTTTTGACTTGCAGAGGAGCATTTAACCCATCAGAAATCAACACAGGTTCTCAAACCACTTTATCCAAAGCTATACCTGATGTGCCCCTGTGTCATTTTTCTGAAAGGTCTCTGAAGTCCTCAGGCATTGGACACACTTGGCACCAGGATGCAAACATGTGAACTCTTGCGGCTAGTTTTAGCGATTTAATGCAGCAATGCAAAGTGAGGCTCTCTGTGATCTGTAATTTCCACTTCACATATGCAGATACATTCAAGCCTTTCTCATTATCACTTCTGTTGCAGCTCTCATTTCCTCTGTTTCGGCTCAGAACTACTGACCGCAAGCTGTAAACATTCTGGATAGGCTATTAGTGTGTCCTGAATTATTAACTCAAACCATTCACCACAATGGCTAGACTATAAATAGTACTAATTGCGCAAGTACTGCAAAATTCTTCATCTGTAGTGGACAACGTCCGGTAAACAAATGCAGAAGAAGTGGTTTCCTTACATTTTTTCAGCCCTGCTGTTTGTCCGGCCGTCTTTAGCTCTGGAGTCGGGGAGATCGATCCACGGGCCCTTCTCTGTCTGACAGTTTGCGTTGTGCTCACCGGGCTTGCACCTCACCCACATATACCTCCCTCTGACTGGTTTACCTTCAGTACACAACAAAAAAGAGTACACAGTAATACCGATGAGCAGTGGTGAAGATTCAAAGTGGTCGTGAATTTCAAAGCATCTTAGTTTCCTGACTTGTAACTTATTTGTTTTCCCCATTTCCATCATCATTCGTAATCTTAGAATCAAACACTACTTACTGAGGTAAGGATGAGACATGACACTGTCACCTCTATGTAATCGACGGACAAATTCTTATTTTTATTTTCAGTTCTATTATAAATGACTCTCACTGTCAAATACATATAGGTAGAACATGGCCTTTGAACGTTTGCATTTTTTATCAATTGTTGACGGGACAAAGTTTAAATTGTTATTTTTTCTTGAAATGTACACACCACATTCATCTACAAGTACAGACGGGGAACAGGTATTTACTGTCCCTACAGAACATCGGAAACAGGCATTTCGGTAATAGGAGCTCTTAACTAAAGATGTAAAGTTTTAACAAAATAACAATAAAGTAAAGACCTAATCTTTGCTATTACCTTTTGAAATTAAGCACCATATTCAGAACAGTACGTCTTATATGCTACTGGAGATTTAACGGCACCTGTTTGTTAAAATAAACTAAAGCTTTGACCATGTTCGAGTCCACCCTATAACATCATATGGTGCTGTAGATTTCGAATGAATGCTATAAAAATGCATTTGTTTTCTTGTCTATCCGTAAATATCTAATAGGGGGTAATTTTGGCAAATCTCACTACAGTTAGTATAGTCGTGTCCTGTTCTGCAATACCGACATCAATATGTCTCGCCAGAGCCTGAATCACGCACATGGAATTGTTTCAGGGTATGTAATTTATTTCACTTTAGTTTAAATAAAACACACACATTTTGATTTTGCACACTATTAGGCAGCATAGGTGATAGTCGTGTATGTTATTAATACGTCATTTACTGTCTTTCTTTAGACAGTATTACTCATCCGCTTTTTTCAGAAGACATAGCGGTTAAATGTAAATGGTAGGAAACGCGCCTTCTTAAAAAAATCATCTTGTACTGAAAGTTATAACCTGTCATTATTAAGTAGAAAGAAGAAGCGATTAATAAACCAAAGTTTTTATTTGAGTTTAGCACCGCAAACTCATAATTGTTAAAGAAAAGTTTTTAATTATAAAAATCGCAGTTTTTACAGTTTGACAAATCCTACCTTGTGCATTGAATCCCAGGAAGAAGACAAATGCTAAAATTAATATAATCCTCCCCGAAGGGTTAAAGCGAAGCCCCATTTTGCAGTATCTGCAGCCTCAACAGCCTGGCGAGATGTGAAAGTTCCTTCTAATGTCGAAAGAAGTAAATCAAACTACTCATACTGCCGCACAGGACCACCCCAGAACTGCGTCACGATTTCCTGAAATCACATCAGCTTCCGTTCCGGAAAATTAATTTATTTTTCAGTAACGTTTCGTTTCCGAACAACACTGTACCTGTCTGCGTATTGTCCTGCATCGTTTACATTTTATTGTCAATTTTAAATATTCCCTATGCTTTAAATGTCTATGGACGCCACTTCAATAGTCTTTCAATCCGAGTCTTAGACTAGTTAATATTATTCCTCTTACGTTTTGCAGAAATATATTTACCTTCCCATTTGGTGACTGTTTATATTCGGAATACCTTTTATTCCAATAACCTGAACCACAACCATCCTTTAATAATTCATTATGTGTTTTTGACTTAGCTTCTGATAATAGTGAGTAATATTGCCTGAAGTTAAGTTCAGATGGAGATAACCCTACCTTTTAGACAACGCAATGGTGCAGTATTGTGCTGTGTGGATAATTGTGCTGATAAGCTCAGGTCCTGTCTATGCTGTCATTAAGGATTCCAGGGTGCTTGTTTGTAAGAGTAAGGGTGTTAGCCTAGTATCCTGCTTAAAATCCATTTTGGGTTTGTACAAACAGGCCTACAAAAAAATTCCCCTTTGATTCACCTGGTGAAGTAATAATGTCTAACTACTCTGCCTGATCTGTAGCAAAGTGGGGCTGCAGGTGTAGAACATCTTGCCTAGTGTCTTCCATGTGTGAGCTGCACTTCACTGGTGGATAAAACAGGGTCCCTACTACTCTACATGTGAAGCATCACACTGTGAGATGACGGTTGTCCAGACATGTGTCCAGCCTGTCTTGTCCTGGCATGATGGTTGATGAAACCTTCCCATTGGTAATATTGCAGCATCTGTGGCTGAAGGCCAGATGAAGAGAACATCTAGACAGGATTAAGCCAGCTCCAGGGTCTGTCATTCCATAGGTCAGAGCTGATCTTACTACTGCTAACTTTTCTCTTCCTCCCAAAACATACTGGTCTCCGCCGTGATGGACCTAAAACTAACCCTAGCCACTGCTGTAAGGACTGAGGGAATCTGAAGGAGATTGTTGATGCTCACACACGATGAAAGGTTATGGCAAGTGATCAGTTTTCATATTTCTGATCTGTGTTTTTTTTCACACTAGCCAAGCCTCTTTTTGCTTTTTCAATCACATTAGGCAGAGAAACTGACACTCTAGAGGTTTGTGTTTCACCTAGTTCATTGTATAAGGATACTTTCTTCACAAAATAGAACGTAAAATACAACAAGGAATCTGATTTGCAACAACTAGTACCATGCATGAATGTAAGTGATCGATATGCTAGATAAATAATTACTAACAGCTGAATTTTACAAATGGAAGGTGAGTCTGCTTCAAATCAAGCACACATTTTTATACCACATCATTTATTCGTGACATCTCTGATTTGAGCTCACGTGTTTTGGGAGGGCCACCCGGTCATACAGTAAGTACACAGTTATACTAGTGGCTGAGTAAAAACACCTGAAGTTCATTCACCTCACTGTTCTAGGGTAACCTCCACTGAGCTGCCACTGTCTTTCCGTTTTTCTTGTCTGTTACCTCAGCACGATTTAGGCTTGTTAGGCTTAAGGGTATTGTACAACCAGACTTGGCCTAGTTTCATTCCCGGTCTGGCCTGAGTGCATTTTAAATAACAGATAGCTGCTGTTCTGAAAGATGTGGTTATCTTTTTCAGCAAGAGCCATTGTGCCATGTGTGGAAGCATTTTGTATAGTTCTCATATATGCAATAGTCTCTTTTAAACAATGAATCATGGCAATAAAAAGTGTGACCAGAACTGTATTCAGATTATATAATGTCTTGCAAAACTACTTGGATTGACAGCACCTTTTGTGCATCTTCCTCAGGGTTCTCCAGAAATGGCCTTTTTCATCACAAACTAAAACTCATTTCAAGCCTTTGCTAAACTGTGCTGTGACTGCTTGCATCTGCTACAGTACTCTGAAGAACACATTATCAGAGTGTGATCAGAAGAAGCCTATTAGAGAGATACTGTACCTAACATCTCCGAAGACCAGGTAGAGTTAGTGTGAAATCTGAAATGGCATGTCTGTTCATATGAATAGGGATCTAATGCATCATATTAACTCCACAGGCCTTCTTATTTTTCTGCTCCACTCCATGAGAATGTTGGACATGATTAGAAACCAAGTGAGGTCAGGATTCAAATAAAAAATCTTGAAACATGACTTGTCACAAGTGACTCTCTTCGCTATTTCTTTAAGGCGGTGTAGGAAAATTAAATTGATTCCCCAATTAAAATGCACCTACATTTTCACAAATCCATGCAGTGCAAGTACAAAGCCATATACAGTATCTTCACAAGAGAGAATATTTGGCAGCATGTTCTTACTGTAACTACCACCCTCAACAAGCACTTCACAAGTGCTGTGCTGTGTAAGGTTTTTAAAAAAAACAAACAAATCCAGTTCTTTCAGGATATCAAGGACACAAAATGTCTGAAAGAGCAAATTTTGGCTGAACCTCATCACGAGCATGCTGGTATGTTAAAATGTAGGTACAAATTATCAATGCGGTTGATTCTTTGAAGGAGTATCAGATTTGGGAAGACATTCCTATAAACAGAGATCTAATGGTTTTCAGAAGAAGCATTGTTTCACCTCTCAGCTAAAACACACTAGCACAGTCTTGTCTATGTGAGTCTAGGTATTTTCTTGTTTCAACCCCCCACATCAAACCTCTGTTTGGCCTTTCAAAAGTGGTGAGTGACTTTCAATAGATCAACATATTTTCTCCTGTTTGGCTCAACCAATAAAGGTGCTCTTTCCAATCTCAGATTATATGCTGAGCTGGGGTCGTGTCACTAGTGGGTCGGAGGAGCATTTCCAGCTGTCCTCACCCTGCCTTGGATGAGTCTAAAATGAAACTTGTAAGTGAAGTATTGAAAACAGCACTTTCAGCTGAACCTCTTCCTCATGGGTTTCAGTGATTTGCTTTCTCGGTATGCAGGAATAACTTAAACATCTGCTGTTCAGAAAAAATAATGGTGTTTTCATTTGTGCTCAGATGTCACTTTTCTTTCTTGAGGCTATGAGGTTACTTTCAAAGGCTTTAGTTTTTGTTTCTTTCAATATGTTCTCATTCAAAATGACTTCATTTTGCCCCGTTCATGTACTAAACCAAAATCTTAGACTGGTGGAATATCAGTGTGCTGTTCTGCAAAGATAATGTTCTAGTTTTCTTTGACATTATCTCACATTTGCTCATTTTATTGAATGATTTAAGCCACCATGAATAACACTGAAAAACGACTTCATCTTCTGAAATGCTGATCTATGTTTTCCAAACAGGTTTCTTTCATTTTCTTCCCGAGAACTGCTTTTCAAGTTCACGTTTTTAAAAAGCAGGCCATTGCTCAATCAACATGTTATACATTAATAAGGAAGACCTTCCTATCCCTGATGACAAATTATATTTGGTAAATCTGAAAGAGAATCATGGGATTAAGGTATTTTACTTATTTCCTTAATGTGATGTTCTTAAATAATATCTAAAAAAAATTGCTAGATCACATACAGTACCAACAATAAAAACTCTCACATTTATCAGTCCTTAAGTGAGCAGGTTAATGCTTTCATATTTTCAATTTGTATTTTGCATCTATCTATTCATGCGGTGATTAAAATTGTTAAATTATGCTGCTTTTGTGTGTATGACAGTGAAACAAGCTCGGGTATTTTTTAGCTATACAGTCACAAGGGGGAAATCACTCTTATTAAGAGGAGCGTGAGGCCAACATAAAGTAATTCTGCTTAGGGACCTTACGATTATCAATCTTAGCACATGAAAATACAAAATTAAACATCAGCAACATCAGCATCATCATCATCATATGCATCTGGATGTCGTAAAGCTTTGCAAAGCGATTTGTTATCTGTGATTAATGGGTCATTGCGAAAGATTCCTAACTGTCTCAGAGTTACATTTCTCAGAAATAGAGAAGTTGAGGTAACTGAGAAAGATGACTTAAATAGCCGTGTAGTTACACACACCAAAGCTTCAAACGTGAGTGCTATAGCTGCACTGGCCTGAAATGGAAAACTATATAACAAGATTTCCTCATGGGATTTTTGTTCCCATTTTTGATTCTTTAGAAAATTCTAGAAGATGCCTTTGAGGCCACAGAATCCACCAAGTCTTTTATCACACTAACACCACACTCTTACAAAATTGTGACAAACTGCTGCATTTTCCTAACAGAAGTTTGTAACTTGTGCTCCCTCTCTCCTTAAATAGTATTTTATTGACCTTAATTATCTAATTATGAAAAGACTAGTCTTCTCTTTTCTTCTGAGGAAACTGAAAGGGGGTAGGAGAGAAAAGGCTTTAAACACGGCTCCATTACTGAATTCTGAAGTTCTGTTACTACTACACTGTTGTATCAAATGTTGTTTTTTTAACTCATGTTATATATCTCTTAAAGGGAATTCAAAAATCTGTTTGGCTCCTTGTATTTAAATTACATCTTAAGAAGGCATGTGTTATCTGGTAGACAAATTAGGACATGCAGATATCTTTACCTTACTCTTGAGTGACTAATACTTTAGGTTCTGCTCTCAGATAAGACAAATGAGAGGAAGTGTTCAATGTGAAAACCTGCTTATTTCTGTAGCCCAGTTAGTGTTACAGAAGCTCATTTTGAGGTTAAACATGGAATTGAAGGCAGAAATAAGCAACTGTCTCTCTCAGTTTCCAGGCAAAAATGCATTTGTGGTCCAATTCTTTTTTTCCTGGCAAAAGCATTTAAAATTCTTTTTCCTGTAGTTTCGAAACAGCAGCCTCCCCCAGTCTCTCAAGCCATTCCCATTCCTTCCTTTATTTCACACGCATTCAAAACACAGCACAGATTTTCCAGTCTAAATACCTTCCATAGTTTGGCGGTCTGATATGTTTTGTGTTCTCTTCAGGAATTTCACATTGAT